TTCAGGCACTCAGCAAGAAGAAACTTAACCTGCATGATCACTAAAGAACAACCAAAAAAACCCAAAAATACGTATTTTTGTCTTCCACTCTCAAGGGGCAAAAACATTCCCTTGACTTGGCCTCCTCTGATCATGGCTAGACATCTTATGTATCTGCACAGTTATTTCAAGTCACTCCTTTCAACACCATTAAAAACTGTCAATGCTTCAGAGTGCAGTTTGCAACCTTTAGTAACTTTTGCATTTTGAAAAAAACAGAGAAAAGATTTAAAGCCATTGAAGTAAGGGGTGGGAGGGAGATGGAAGGAAGGAAGGAATACACAGGCGCTGTCTTGTAGTCCAGTTTGAAACCTCTCCACCTCCTACAAGAGAAAGATGGGCAATAATTTGCTACTAGGAAATGTAAGGCAAGAGGCTGGGAAGTGTCCCACTTCTGTTTTCTTCCTGAAGCTTAAAGCACTGAGTTATGCTTGTTCTCCTCAGACTGTTACCTTTTAAGCACAAAAAAACACATGCAAGTGGAGATTGTTACATCATCTACACACTGTCCAGTTCAATGGCTACATAAAGTTCATCATTTTCCTGCTGAGACTTCCAAGCAGAAACAAACCAACCAAAACACAAAAATTTGTTGCACAAGAAAAACCACCCATAATATCTTCAAATCTCTCCTCCATGCTGCTTCTCTCCAAAACTGTATATATCAGCAATCCACCCATATTACTGTATTCAGCAGTACCTTAAGGCAGGAATACAAAAAAAGCAAGACTGAGAGAAAACTTTAAATGATGAATGTATATCATTTAAAGTTTTTGACACATCACAGGCATTAAACTCGATCCTCTTTCCCAAGCACCTCACCTGAGCACTCCAATCACAACCATAACTCTATAAGAAACAACATTAGATGCTCCACAGTTTAGCTATCAAGCTGAACAAGCAGCAGGAACAGGATCTCTCCAGTTGCAAGATTAAGATACATAATCTCACTCTGAGCAATAAAGCCACTTCTAGTCAAATCAAATGGATTTTTACTGTCCAAGCACTGCCAGTCTGTGGCCATGTAACACTGAGCTTGAGACAAGACTACATCTGAACTTTTGCCCTGAATAGTAGGAGAAGTTTCAACCATAGGGAGTTCTCCAGTCATAATTTGTTTCAAAGCAATATATCATTTTAGAGGTTTCAACAAAGTCTGGTTTCGCAGTCACTCTCTAACCAAACATCTGCAACTTCCAATCTCTTGCCCATATCAATGGCCAGTATACTGCCCCAAGAAACAAGGGATATTCCAGTATGCCAGACACCACCAAAATGGTCAGACTTTCGAGCAGTTTAAGGACCAGCTGACACAGCAACATGAGGATGAGTTTGCTGAATACAAACTGTGGCCACATGAAAGAAGGCATATGAACATTTCATCTCTCTGAAGAGTTATTCTGGGGAGACACTTGACCCTAATAAGATTCATTCACAATAACTTGAGAAACAATATAATAGCACACCACTACTGGATAGGAATCTGACCAATAACCAGTTCAGGAGTGGATGTATGACCTATCAAAAGCTGAAAGTGCATTGTTTCTTAAGGTTGGGGTTTTTTTGTTCAGACTTTCAAGACCAATGAGTAATTGATGCTATTAACATAAACAAAAGTAAGCCTTTGTGTAGTCCCAAAACCACAATTCCTTTGATCCATTCTTTAATGTGTGCCTGATTTTCAAGAACTTCTAATATTTCATCTTAAAGAAAAATGCATCTTATTCTTGAAAGAGCTGTGTGCACTGACAAAGGGGCTGGGGCCAAGAAGAGCTTGCTTCACTGACTGATGTACAACTGGCTGCTGCTGAACAGGTTCTGAGTGGCAACAGCTTCATGAGCCTTTTCTAAACCTCACAGTGAACTTTAAATAATGATCCAGAACAGAAGATTCAAAATGTTCTACAAAAATACAGCCCAGCTGAAAAAAAGGAAACAAGAAAATACTGTGAAAAACTTGATCAATTTTGGCTCTAATAAACTCTCTTTTAGGATGAGATAGAGGAAGCAGGACACCAACAACAGATGTTATATGCAATCTAAAACCCCAGCAGTGAAAACACAACTGACAGCACTCAGTCTAGCTGCTCTGGAACAGTATCTGCCAGGTTCTCTCCTCTGAAAAAAAGAGCAGCACACACAGCTCATCAAACAAAAACCTCCAAACCTGCTCATGGCATATGTGATTTAGCATGCATCCAGATGAAAATGCAAATAAATTTTTGAGTGATAAATTCCTGTAAAAGATTTGCTACATCATGTGGCTTTTGCTGTAGTTTTTCCTATTTGGAGTGCTGTCTATTCAGGCATGAACAGGAAGCAGACAGGTGATGTTACAAACAGTAAGGCCTGCCAAAGTCTGTTTAATACCCTTGTTTCAAGTTGTTCAAATCTGAGTCTTAACAGTTTATTTTTTCTCCACTTTTACTTAGTCACCAAGAAAGTATGACCTCAATGAATGGCCTATGTTCTGTTCTTAATACTAACACCTGACACAAAAGGAACCTTTGAAGTCTCCTGCCTGGCCCCAAAGACACTATTAAGTCTTAAAATGAAAAAGCACTAAAAGGTTAAAAAAATGTCCATGTCAGTTCCAGCCCCTACTAGCACCACCTCTTCTAAATGTCATAATTATAACTTAATGGGTCCATCCTTCTTTTCTCTGAAAAATTACCTTACATCAGCAATTTGGCCTCACAACTCTTCTGCTTTCAAAAGAACTTTTATAAGAAATCATCCCAGCTGAAACTGTTTTGAAATATCAATCACTCATAAGCAGTACTCTTTACTTTAAAAAAAGTTATTTTAATAGTATTTGTTTTTGTAGGGCTTTAACAGTTGTTTCTATAACCTACTTGCTACCAGCTAGATTCTTGTAAGTTTTGTATGTATATTTACATGTGTATGTATGTGTACATATGCATACATATATGGAACGCAAACAAACCAACCCCACAGCTGTTAAAGAGAAATAAAGATTGCTATTGGCACTTGCTTAACAGTTAAAGAGAAATAAAGATTGCTATTGGCACTTGCTTAACAGTCAAACTTACTAAAACACCACTCAAGTAATTTTTCTCTACTTAGCCAAAAGGGGAAAAAATAAAGTCAGCAATTACAGGCAACTACAAAGGAGTAAGATAATCCCTTCGAGAGTTTCAATAAGAGTAAAGCAAAGACGAGAAGCATTTCTCCGCTGAGCAAGTCAAGCCCAGCTCCGCACGAAGCGCGCCGCGGTGGGAGCCCGGCTCCGAGGGACCCCGAGCGCCGCAGTGCCGGCTCCAGCTCCGTGCGCCGCCGGCCGCGGAGCGGCCAACCACGGGCACAGCCCGGGGGCGCAGCACCCCACTACTGCCGCGGCGTCTTCAGCCCGGGCCCCCCCGCGCCCGGCCGCCCCCCGAGCGGGACAGCCCCGCACAGCCCCGGGACCGGCAGGGGCCGCCCGGCGCGGCCCCGCCTCCGCCCGCCGGCCCCGCGCCCAGCGGAGGGGCGAGCGGAGCGGAGCGCGCCGCGCGTGTGAGGCGGCCCCAGCTCCGCCCGCTCCCGCCGCGCGGAGCCCGCGCCGCGCGCCCGGCTGTCAAAGCGAGGCGGCCCGGCCGGGCGAGGCCGGCGCTGGGCCTTTGTGCGCGGGCGCGCATCTGTCACCGCGTCCCGGGCCGCGCGGCGCACGTGGGGCGGCGGGCCCGGCCCCGCTTTGTGCCGCAGGTGCCGGGCCCGCGGAGCCATCTTGGGGCAGGCGGCGCCCCCCGGCCGCGCTCACCTGCACGATCTCGCCTTCGGCGCTCAGCGTGGCCCCCGCGCGGGAGAAGCGGCCCTGCAGCCCCGTGGTGTAGGTGGTGTAGTCGCCGCTGGGGCTGGACTCGAAGAGCACCACCTCCACGAACGCCGTCTCCTTGCCCAGCGCCGCGCCCGGCGCCGCGGCCAGCAGCACCCCGAGCAGCAGCAGAGGCGGCGGCAGCGGCGGCACGGGCAGCGCCGCGCCGGCCCCGCAGCCCCTCATCGCGCGGCGGGAGGAAGCGGCGCCCCGCCGCCGCGCATCTCTCCCGAGCGGCTCCAGCTCCGGGGCCGGGGTCCCGGGCCGGTCAGCGTCCCATGGCAGCGGCCCTCCCGCCGCGCTGCGCCCCGCTCCTCGCTGCCGCGCTCCCCTTCCCTCGCCCCGGCTCCTCTCCGCCCTGCCAAGCCGCTTCCCTTTCATCTGCTCCACGTGACGGCCACCACGGGGTTATCCCCGCCCTCCGCGCCGCGCTGACCCGCTCGGTCCCTCCCGCCGTGCACACACACCGCCCGCAGCCCCGCTGGGCCCGGCCGAGCCGGGCGGTTGCCGTGGCTGCCGGCGGTCCGGCCCGGCTCGGCCCGGCCCCGCGAAGGTCTGGGAGCGGGCGGCACTCGGGACGGCCCTGCCGGGATCGGCTTTCCACGCGGCCGGGCCTGCAGGGCCGGGAAGCGAAGGGCAGCCACGGCGACCTGTGGCAACCGCCCGGGCCCGCGTCCGGCGGTGCCGGAGCTCCCGCGGTGCCCGGCCGCGGGCTGCGGGCCTGGGCCCGTAGCGGGCCGGTCGGGCCGGCTCCCGGTGCTCCCGCGGCCGCCGGCCGTGCTCGGTGCGCTCGTTCGGCGCGGGTCCGGGCGCGGTGGCTGCGCGGGCAGCCCCTCGGTGGCACAGCCCGGGTGGACGAGTGCCCTGGCAGCACTCGTACCACAGGCACCCATCCTCCGCACAGACACCGCTGCGCTGCCGTGCCAACTATTCGCAAGCGGCACCCGGCGTGCTCCTGTTTGTGGTTAGGGCAGGAGTGGCTGACCGGACCCCCCTGATCCCAGCCTCCCGAATCTGAGTTAGGGGAGGTTGGGTTACCTGGGCTCTTTCGCTTGGCTGTTAAGTGTGAGTCTACAAAACCTACATCAATTATGAGGGGAAAATGTGTTGGTAATGATTTTTGTTGCAGTCTCCCACAAGAACTGGATGTCAGCCAATTACACATTCTTCCATTAAAAGTATGTACAGCTAAGTCATGGAACTCATTAATACATGGTGTTGCACAGCCTAAAAATACAACTCAGTGACAAGGAGGATTGAGACAAACTGATCCAAGATCCCTTGTTGGCTATGAAACACAGTGTTTGGAAACACAGCCCAGCCCTAACTCGCTGGCAGAAGAAATAATACCATAGCCTACAAATGGCCAGCTCTTTTCCTAAATATACTTTATTACAGGTATACTTTGTTCCAAGGTAGTGTCTTGCTTAGCATGACACAGTGAGCAAATATTAACACATCATGGAGGATTTCTTCAGTGGCAAAGGGTCAACAAGGGATTGCAGGACCATACACTCTGGGCTCCTACAGTAAGCCACAAAACACCCACCTAAGACTACGGTACCGTGGATCAAAGGCCACAAAACTATTGCATATTTAGAAAGGGAGCTGGAAGGGACATCACTGTGGTGCACTATGCAAATTTAGATGTGGTCAACAGGTCCAAATTTTTGATTACAGGTATGTTTCACTACAATTTCAGAAATGCATGGCCATCTAGTGTACTAAATAGAAGCATTTTTTAAATCACTTTAGTGCAAATTACCTTTACTTGATTTTCCTTCATCCATGAGGCAAATGACTGATGCTCAGTCAACATACAGTCTCCTATATTACAATCAGCCTAGGAACAGCTGAAACTGTCTGGAAAAAGATGTGAATGTGGCTCTAGACAGTAAGTGGACAGATCCCATGCCCAAAGTAAGAATTGCTGAAGATATGATCCATTCCACTTGGACTACAAACACCGCAAAATTGCCTTGGAGCAGCCTCACAGTCAAATACTGAGGAGTGACATGAGGCACTAGGTCTCAGGTCACCAAGTTCCCTCGACTTGGGCAGAAATCCAAGCAGAAAGTTACAGGAAGAGAATGGACTGTCTATCATTAAAGCATCGAATATTTCTAATTGGCATCCTGCCCAGCTGGCAGTATACAGTTCACAATTCAGTTATGCCATAATACTTCAGATATGTTTTCTTTTTTTTTTTTCCTCGGAATAACAAACTGAGGCCCAGGGTCTAAATACTGAAGTCTCAAGCATTTATAACTACAGCTGAGGACAGTGGGAGCTGTGATTTGAGCAAAACTAAATTATGTACAATGCCAAATGGTCTGAGAAAGCATTCTCTAGGCACTCAGTCTCTTCTTTCAAGTAACTAGTGACAGAACCAGAGGAAAGACTTCAGGTTTCATCAGGGAGGCTTAGATTGGATATTAGGGAACATTTCTGCATGGAAAGAGTTGTCAAGCATTGGATCAGGGGGCCATGGATAGAGGTGGAGTCACCATCCCCCTGGGGGATTTTAAAGATGTGTGGATGTGGCACTTGGGGACTTGGTTTAGTGGTTTAGCAGTGCTGGAGGAATGGTTGGACTCAATTGTCTTACAGATCTTTTCCAACATAAACAATTCTATAATTCTATCTCAGAAGCGGGCAATCAACACTAGAGGATGCTTTTGACACTGAACTTCCTACATCTCCTTTCCCTTGCAATGGAATGGATATTATAGAACCCTCCTCCCTCTGCTCTTGAGAGAAAACAAAGTTAGTGAAGTAGCTACATAATACATGTACAATATATATACAATATATACACAATCACAGTGTGATGAACATTATAGAAAAAGCCCAAAACAATTTCCTCAGAGCAGACCGGCTATCCATAGGAAGGATAAAAAAGCCTGGCTGTCTCATTCACACACCCAGTGCAGGTGTTTTCAAGAGCTGATAACTCGGACTACTGCCCACATTCCCTATATGAATATGAAATAAGCAGAGCTTATTTCCTAAGTAAATGATATTGGTGTAGCTCTTAATAAGCAATAGTAACAAGCGCTGTCCTTTCCCCAGTAAATTCAAGGACGTGTACACGCCTGCCCGTTTTCTCTGCGACAGAATTGCACAGCACGGAGTTTTAGGGCTGACTGGGAGCTTTGCTCAGCCACACCCTGCCGAGAACCGCGGAGCTCTCGCTCGGAAGGAGCCGCGGCAGCTCCTGAGGCCGCCGGGCGCGGGCCGGGGAGGGGCGGCTGCACCGCGGCGCGGCCACCGGCAGGTGTCCCCCGAGGGCCGCCGCGCCCGGGCTGCGGGACGGGCCGGGGCGGCTGCGGAGCCCCGAGCGGGGCGGGACGGGTCCGGCAGCGGGAAACGGCTTCAAATACCTCCCACAGCCTTGCATCTTCATCTCCAGCATCTTCAGCACCTTCAGCACCTTCAGCACCTTCAGCATCTTCATCTTCTTCATCCAGCATCTGCAGGCTTTGGATGCACTTTGGACCTGAAAGCCCATCCTGTATTTATAGAAGCGATGCTTTCATCGTTATCATAAATTATTCTAAATTTAAGTAACAAAGCGTTGTAGCTTGTCAGCTTAATTAAAGTAACAAAAATCAGTGGGTATTTGTACTAGGAAAAACACGTGGAAAGTGGCTTTGCTTCTTGCTATTTAAGGTTTGGAAACATAATTCATCCAAGTAAATCACCATCAAAGCAATGCAAAATGGCCAACTGCCTAGCCACAACAACTTTGATTATAACATTTTTTCGTGAACAAAATTTGTAGTTAATGTTTGAATAGTTTAAGGTTTCCAATGCTTTAAACAACATGTAGTCTTTTAAATCTGCATGAAGGGGAAACATGGTGATTGGGGAATCCTTCACCTCTCTGCACATGTAATTTTCTACTGAAGGTTAAAAATAATAATGAATCAAGTCTGTGAAACTGAATTATGTAGATTGTACTGAAAATACCCTTATTTAGATAAATTCAGTCCTTTCTTTTTGCAAACTCAATACACAGTACAAGCTCAAATAAGAGTTGCAAGACAATACAGCCGTGCTTGATGCTTTCCTTCAGAGTCCTCACCAGGCAGGTACAGCAGATCATGTTGCCAAAAGAAGAAAAAAAGAATTCTTAGAAACAAACTTAGGAAACTATTTCGATATGCTTTTTGGTCATCTAAAATCCCTGCAAGGGGTGGCTGGAACAGAACGGATTTGGAAAAAATTTGGAGCTATATTTTCCAAGATTCTCAGTATTCATTCTGCAAGAAAAACCCTCAAATGCATCCATACCAATGTCTCACTGTGCTGCTGTGTTCCTGAGATTGCTCTGTATCACATCTACTCACTTTCAGTTGTAGTTGCACTAAATCCCTAACTACTGTTAGTTTCATGTGTTCATTAGGTCAATGCTTAGCAGTTTCTTCATTCATAATATTGAAGAAGCTGCTAGTGAAATTAAATATAAATAACACACCCTGTATATTTCACATATTTATATACAATCTAGATACTGACACTTCTGTATTTAATTCAACATTGCTATTAGTGTTTCTGGGATAAATATAGGGTACAAGCTGCTGTTCATGAAGCCCTAGTTCAAGCAATGACATAAAATGAACAATATTTAAACATTGCAGAATAAATTTGAACCACATGGTTAAAGTGTATGATGTATCAGCTGCTAATACTAATTGCAATATGAAGAACTCTATGCTAAAGCCAAAAAATAGATTTCAGTGCTTCTGAGTACCAAAAGCAAAAAACACTCTTCAAATGTCACTGGCTAAAATGAAGGCACTCCCACATTAACAATGGATTTGTTTCATGTGATAGTGAGTTAAGAAATTACTTAGTCTATTTCATCTTGGGTTACCTATTATATTAATGACCCACCTAAGTAAAAAAATCTGACTGACACTTTAATTAATCACCTTAAAACACTCTTTTTCCACATTCAACTATTAGTATAGGATCTATTTAATTAGTAGATTAAGGTCTTTAGCTGTCCCTGCCTATTTACATAATAGTTATCATTAAAGTCAGTGCCAACAGAGCAAATCAGTGAGGATACCAGAGACAAACCATAATAGACTTGTCCCTCTCCGAACACCAGCTGCTACCCTGTGCTCTCTGAGGAGTCAGCAAATCAAAAATGTAGCAGGCAGGAGATGGAGGATTCTGACAATATCCCCCACATTTTGGGTCCTGCTGAACCTATGCTGAAACAGAACTGATTCCTAACTTGGCATTTCCTAATAATTTCCTCTTCTCTTACAGGGTCACATGACAGCTGGAGACAGGGTTCTGCATACAAAAGGGCACCCAAATGGAAGAATATAAGGAAATAAATTCAAAATTACAAAACAAGAAAGCTTCCAGGACTCTCAGGGGCTCTGGACTTCTAAAATAACTTCAAAGCCTAGGGAAGGTCTAAGAAATAAGAAAAGGTTTTCCCTTTCAAATGCAGGCACTGCTCCAAAGAAGAGCAGGCTTCTGCCAACAGGAAGCAGCCATCAAGTTTTCCTAAGCGTGGTTGTTTACCTCCCTGGGTATTTTCCAAGAAGAGGTTCCAGTTCTGAACCAGGATGTGCAAACAGAGAAACTTACTGGAACAGGAGCTTTTAGGTATGTGAGATTTCAAGTTAAGTGTTTTCCACAGAGAGCTTGCTCAACATGTGGGACACTGGCACAAAACCCAGAACAGCACTGTGGGTTCCCTGGGACAGCACAGCAGCAAGTTCAGCCTCTCCTGTACTGGCCCAGAACATTCAAAGCTTCACCCCAAACAATGCACTTGCTGCATCATCTCAAGTCGGTGTAGGACCTTTACCTTTTTTCTTTTTCTCGTGACTACCACCTCTAATGTGTCAAAGAGCATCAGTGTACAGAGGTGAGCACAACACCTCCTTGTGCACAACTGTTTGAGCACAGGTGAGCACAACTGTTGTGCACAGGAGAGCACAACCCCTCTCTGTGCACAGCTCCTGTGGCATCCCCCAGAATCTCCAAATCCTGCATACTCTGCACAACTCTCTGGCTCACATTTTCCTGCCAGCAGGAGGAGAGAACCCTGCGGGGAAACACTGTGCTTGGGACCAAGCTAGAAAGAGAAAAGCCAAAGGGATGAAGTAGGACTACACATGGAAATAGGTACTACAATCAGATAAACCACAGCAAAGCACCAGAGGTGCCAGCAGCTGGACTTTTTAAATGGAAAGGGAACCCATGCAATGGAAGCAGAATCAATAGAGCAATAGAAGAATGGTGTGGGAAGGGAATGAGCCAAATTGATTGGAAACAGAAGCCAGAACTACTAAGCAAAGCCTGAATGACAACTGCAACCTCCTCTTGACCTGTGGGATTCCTGCAGAGATCAGGGGTGCCCACCAAACAGATTACCTGACCTGAGCCCATTTTCCTGGCTAAGTGACCAAAGCTGTTTGATTCCCAGCTGGAGTCTCTCAGGGACTGGCAGATGGCATAAACCTTCCCAAGGACATCCAGTGGCTATGTATAAAGATCTATTTACATTACTAATGTTTGCAGAGTTTTCCAGTAACCTTTCACTCTTCCAGAACTGGGCATAGGCTTGCCAGTCTTTCTGTTTACTGCGATGTGGATATCTTGTCTTCTTTTAAATTCCCATCAGTGGTTTGCTCCAAGCTCTGAATGTGCACAAGAAATTTCCTTCTCTGTCTGACAGAAAGAATCAAATCAAGAGATCTTTATCACAAAATACTGCCATGTCCTTGTAAGTGGATAGATTTTCCCTTTATATCAGCATTCCTCAGCAGTGTGATAGGGATTAGGAAGCTGTTTCTACACTGGGACCTTTGCTGTTTAATAAACATGTCCATTTTCTGGAAAAAATAGTAAATTGGCAAAAAAATTGCATCTGCTAAAAAATTATATACATTTGTTCATTTCTGGTCTTGCCTGATACCAGTGAATTCTTGAGTTTCAGAGGAGTCTAAAATGAAGCAAATTGGAATTACAATGCAAGTGAAATTCAAGGGGAAAAAAACCACTATGGAGATGCAAAGAACATTGTGAGCCTTTTATAGAGATTGCTTGATCTCAAATTCACTGTTAACACTCAAAAAGACAATATATCATTAGACTGTTTTAAGAAAAATCTCTGATCTTGTATTCTGTAACAATAGCAAAAGGAATTACACACACAAAATGTGTGAAACATGAGATTATTTTGTTTCCAAACAATCTGTGACGCAAAGAGGCCACTACAGAAGAAGGCCACAATGGAGGTTCATATTTTCTAAAAGTTAATCAGTTGCTATACGTGCATCTACACCTGGCTTTTGGGCAATGTGCTCCTAATCTCCCTTTTTTTATGAGGTACTGCATTGAAATTTATTGCTGCTAAGCTACCATTAAACCTGGAATAGGGCACAATCTCTTTGCATGTGGGCAACGGAATTGAACTACCCAAAGAGGCTCCAAGGTGAACCTCAGTGCCTATGGCTGCTGGGAACTCCTGTAGCACTGAAGGGAGACCCTCTTTTCCTGAAGAAAAGCCTTATAAAAGGCCTGGTTTCTAGTCAACTTTCAGAATTTGTTCCAGAAACACTGATAGTGTTGCCTGAGTTAACTCAGACTTTTGTGAATCAGAAGCAAGACTTCATTGACTATGGTGATGGGAGAACCAACCCTATTGCATGGGGAGGCAGATAACCCTAAAAAGGGGCATTTGAGACATCTCTGTGACAAGATACGGGCTGCCTGAGCCAGCTGATGCTGCCTGCAGTGCTTGGGACACTGCTATGGGGAAAATACAGACAGAATTCCAGCAAGAAGGCCTGAAGGTATTAGAAGAAGTGTAACAAGAGTCACTTCAGGTACAGGTGTACCACAATCAGCTAGGTCAGAGGACTGAACCATAAAGAGACCAAGTAAGACTCTCCAGCCTACGGGCCTTTGGCCCACAACCAAGACCTAAGATGGAACTCAGGCAGACCTACCTCACTCTTCCTTGAAATTCTGGGTAGCTGGAAGTACCAGTAACATGTGGGTGGAACATGAGGACAGGAGGACAGGGAACTGGAATGCAGGGCACACATATGTTAGGAGAATCATGGTTTAAAGTTGAACTCACTGTGTCTGTTCCATGCTTTTCTGGTGGTAACCTGGGAACAATCACAGAAGCCAGTTGAGCAGAATCCCAATAGCTTATTAAGTATTAATGGAGAAGGGATGAGAGCTGAGTGAAAATCACCTTTCTGAAAGGCTTGCTTGTGGCAGTGTTAAGAGAAAGGAAAGCCATGCAGGCAGGGTGGCAGTTCTTTGCAGTAGCCAGAGGATACAGATTCTGCATATTCCCTGAGACTGAGAGCACTAAAACTTTGAAAGATGCACTCCTGAATCCAAATGTGTAATGACAAAATTTAAGAATAAGTAAAATTAGTTTACAGGTTTTGAATTACCTTGTTTTAGGCTGCTAAACAGGTTCTCTTCTCATTTAATCAGCTATTGATACAGGAATGGGAACACTCCAGCTGTTGTCAAGAACTTGGAGGCCTGGGCCACCATCCAAGTATTTTCAGACACACATTTGGCAAGCAAGCTCTTTCTCAGATTATGATTGTCAGGTAATCTTTTCTGTATGCCCACCTCTTCCATTTTACTTTCCTCCTCTATTCCCCCTTTTTTCATGTGTAGATAACATTGAACACACATTTCTTTCTCTGTATCTGAGATTACACAAGGGTAAAGCCTCTCCACCTTCGTTAAACAAAATTATTTCCTCTGGTGGGTTGGCCACCTGGAACATAAAACATAAAGCTATTTTAGCAGGAACTTATGTGGTTTCTGGCAGGACAGCAAACAGTATCCTCATTGGCACATCCTTGGTGGTAGTGCTGAACCCCCCAGCAGGGTGAAGGCAGGGTGAGAAGCATTCTTGAGTCACGTGGATCACAGGATTAAATCCAATGACTGAAAAAAAGAAAAATACAAAGACCGGAATGTGTAAACAGTGAAGGGGGGAAAAAAAAGTAGAAATCAGAATTAAACTTGAAGCCTTTTTGTTAAAACTCTTTGAAAGGGTGTCATAGTGTAAGACCAACTTTACGGACCTTTTCTGCATTCTTTTCTGGCTCTCTCTTACCCAGTGACTCAACCATATATTTAATAAAACACTTTATATATCCTAATGGTAGTAACACAATATTTGTGAGCCTAAATATATTCTCAGCAACTGCACCATCTTCTTAGTACTACTAAAACCATTCAACAGGACTAGAATGCAGGGTGTCATGCCCTTCTTTTGCTAGCTATTACTGCCAACACTAATGGATGCTGTTATTATATTCAGTAACAATGGACACCACCAGTGCCAAGGGCAGCTTCCACTTTTGTTGGTTACACATCACTGTGAAGTAGATCAGGCACCATTACTTGCACATATGTCCCTGCACTTCTGTGGTTTATTCATGATCACATGAATAAACCACAGCATGCTTTTCATGGACTCTGGTTCCACATAAAATTAAATAAGAAAATTAAATCACCTGCAAACAGAAGGTTAGGATTTTTCTTCATTCATAATACCAAGACATATGGATATCTTTATGATAAATTATATCATGATAAATCAGATCTCCCCGTTATAGCTGTAAATATTACAAATCAACAATGTATGGCAGCCTTGTTCACCCCCTTCAACACTTTTCTTGCAAATAAGGGCAACTTGAAATGGATGTCTGAAATCAGAAGCAGTTATTAATACTGAATCTGCATTTTGGTAGAAAAACGTAACACTTTAAAGTGGGAATTAGAATTACAGAAGAAACATGAGTCAAATCCAGAAGAGACATACAAAAGAGAAGCAGTATCTCCAATGGCCAGTATCTCAGGGGCTTAGCAGGACCCGAACAAACAATTTTTTGCACTCCGATTAAAAGGCTAATTGAAAAATCGCCATGTTTTTCACAAAGGTGTCGAAGTAGAAAGATGAACTTTCAGCCTTAGCTCAATGTCATGCTGCAGTGCATAAGAAAAGAACAAACACGAGCTCACAAATGCAGTTTGTTCTCTGTATCATGAAAGCCTGGCAGAACTCCAGTGCTGGAGTAATGCCAAACCAGCGCACCAGTGCCTTTGATCTTCTAAAGCTTGTGTTTTCCTTTAGTGTTTAACATCTCAACTAATTTAAAACCAATGTACAAATGGCTTTCAGAAATAATTGTGAGCAGCCAAAGTCTCGACATTTCATAACTATTCAAGTCGTTGGCAACTGTCGCAAGAGGAAACGCGGAAAGCTCCAGGCAGTGCAAACACCCTCGATGCCCGGCACGGCTGTGCCTTGCTGCCCGCAGGTTGCTGAACACCTGCATTCCCATGGGCAGAGTATTTCTCGGCTTTCTACCTACAAAACTTTTGTCTGAACCCCAGATCTATCAGATCTGACACCAACCCATCACGGCAGGGTGATTTCCTCCGTCAAACGCCACAGAAGTGTTCACTTCACTCCCACACAGCACCGCTGCTTCTCAGAACAGCCTGGGTGCGACACCCCTGAGGGATTCCTGCACGGTCCCCTGCAACTCCCACTCATCAATCACTAACCTCGCTGCTTTTTTGGTCTTCTTAGACTAAACAGCTCATTCTTATAGCATCTGCTACAGCTCCATTCGTGGCACTTGTGCTCCGCATTGTTATGCTTGTGACTATTTGTGACAGACCGGCTCCGGAATGGAGACCAAAGAGAGACTTCAGCTGTTTCGCCACGTTAGGCTTGGTTCACTGCCTCCTCAAGGAACCGGTCAACTTCAGCCACCGCCATGGCGGGCACGACACGGCACGGCACGGTTGGCACGGTTGGCACGGGTCCCCCGGTTCCCCCGGTTCCCTCGGGCCCCTCACGGCCCTGCTCTGCCCCACAACCCCTCACAAGCCCCGCCCATCGCCCCGCCACACCGCCCGCAGCCCTCACGTCTGATGCAATTCGCTTCCCCCCTTGCTCGCGGCCTCGGGCCAATCGCGGGCTGTCCCGGCCTTGGCGTCACTCCTCGCAGCCAATGAGCGAGAGCCACGATGGTAGAAATCCGGGCGGGGCGGCGCGGGGCGCAGACGGCGGCGCTGGTGACGCCGGCGGCGTGTCCGCTGTTCTGCCGTGCCGCCATGGCGGCGCTGCCCGGTGCCGCGGCCCCGCGCCTGCTCCTCATCCCTAGCAAAGCGGCTGAGGCTCCCGGCCCCGCGGCTGCCCGGCATCTCTCCGTTGTCCTGCCGGCAGGAGCCGACCCCGGCCTCCCGGGGATGGAGACCGCGCAGCCGGCCCGCAAGCGGCAGCGGCTCACGCATCTGAGCCCGGAGGAGAAGGCGCTGCGCAGGTGAGTGGGGGCGCGCCGGGAGGGCTGCGGCTGTACTTGGCGGGGGTAAAGTGTCCCGTTGACGGCCGCTCTGCCCCGCAGGAAGCTGAAGAACCGCGTGGCGGCACAGAGTGCCCGCGACAGGAAGAAGGCGCGGATGACAGAGCTGGAGCAGCAGGTGGTGGAGCTGGAGGAGGAGGTAAGGGGCTGGGGGAGATAAGGGGATGGAGGAGGAGGAATGGAGTGGCCTCCCTGCCTCACGGCTCTTTGCAGAATCAGAAGCTGCTGCGGGAAAACCAGCTCTTGCGGGAAAGGACGTGTAACCTGACGCGGGAGAACCAGGAGCTCCGCTGCCGCCTGGGTTTAGATGCTCTGAAGACGGAGGAGGATGACGAGTTCCAGGTGAGCCGCGCTGCTGGCGTGTCCGCCCCGCCGTGGGCAGAGCTGCCCCGCTCCCCGGGCAGCCTCGGAGCTGTGGGCAGGGATATGGCGGAAACACCTTTGTCCTCAATATGGAGGCTGGCCTGAAACCCCGCGGGTGCCACGTCGAAATGGGTAACGCGGGATGTAGAGAGCTGACTAGTTCCAGGCTGTTTTAAGACAGTTTTCTCTGGTTTTTTACCTTATAGAAATGAAGCCAAAAGTGTTACGGTCACGTAGGTGTGTCTCAGATGTGGTGGAGAGGGTTAGGCTTTCATTTAAAAGTGTCAAGCAAAATAAAGTGCAAGTGTAGGGAAGCTTCAGCTAACTTTGAAATTACCTTACCTTCAGGTTCCTACAGAACAAGTAAATAGAGAATTTTGTGTTGGAAGCCCTAGCAGAAAAATGATGATCTTGAAGATCACGTACTGTGGTGCCTGCCAGAATATTTGCAGTGACTGAGTTTCTGTCTTGGTACAGATTGTGAAGGAATCCCAGGTGGATGAGATCGGATTGGTGACCGGGTCCGCTGAGTCCGCAGCACTCAGACTACGTGTTCCTCTGCAGCAGGTGCAGGCCCAGCAGTCACCATTTCTGATAGTTTCCACATGGATTCTGATGGCAGTGACTCTTCAGACTCTGAGGTGAGCATCCAGTCCTATAAAAATTGCCCATGAAATTTGGAACCACTGTAGATTTAAGACTTGTGTTGTAGTGTTTTGATGTTAAATCATTTGATGATTTCTATTCATTCCAAATCTTGGAATGCCATGTCAGAACAGCTGTGTTAGCCTGTGTTCAATAAGTACAGGAGTTCAGCAACACCCACATGAAAAATCCCAGTCCCCACAGCTTTAGTCATGTGCAGGTTTGCCTAAGGCAGGTTTTGGTTTGTGCTCTGTGTAGCCAGCAGGCACTGTGGTGTTTGTACTTGATGGGTACGGTATCTCAAGGAGCTTCTAATAGTGGCTGTAAATCTCAAATGCATGTATAATTCCCTGGGGATTGCCAGTACCTTTACAAAAAAAGCTGTAGGCAAAGAATGACTGTGCCCTGGCACAGATTGCCCAGAAAGGTGTGGAGTCTCTGTCACTGGAGACAGTCAAGAGCCATCTGATGCAATCCTGTGCCATGTGCTCTACAATGACTCTGCTCAAGCAGGGAAATTGGACCAGCTGTGACCTAGTGTGGTCCCTTCCAACCTGGCCTATTCTGTGGATTTAACTGTGTGTTTGATGATATTCTTGGTAAAACAACTGTGATTGCATCAGTGTTTATTAACTTCCATGTGGAGGTAATAGATGCCACATTTGATGTTTGGCTGTAACAGTAATAAACTGTCTCTCTAAAACTGTCTTTCATTTTGCAGTCTGATCTCCTCTTGGGCTTTCTGGACAGTCTGGACCCAGAGTTGTTTCTCAAATATGCTGATTCAGAGTCAACATGCCTGGAAAAGCTGGATGAAGAGATCTCTGGAGAAACAAATTCCATACCTACCGCCCTCTCTCCCTCTTTGGGGTCCCCATCAGCTAAGCTGGAAGCCATTAATGAACTCATAAGGTTTGATCATGTGTATACAAAACCCCTAGTAGTGGAGATTCCTGTTGAAGTGGGCAACCAAACCAATATGCTAGTGAAAATTGAGAAAGAAAACCTCTCTTCATCTGACGACAAGGCTGTCCCTGAAGTCCCGGTGTCTGTGAAGAAGGAACCTGTAGACAGCTTCATGCCTGAACTGGGCTTTTCTCATCTGCTTTCTTCTTGTCATAGCCTTGAAGCCTCGAGCTACCTGTTGGATGGTTGTAGTGACTCTGGGTATGAAGGATCCCTCTCGCCCTTCAGTGATACATCGTCCCCGCTTGGCAGTGACCATGCGTGGGAGGACAGCTTTGCCAAGGAACTCTTTCCCCAGCTCATCAGTGTCTAACCTGTAGTGTTAACTCCCTGTGAACAGCTGTCCTGGCAGGATATCAGCGATGCCCCTTTGGGGTGTATGTGGGGAAAATCAAGTCCATTCAGAAAAGTGTTTCTCATCTTTACCATGCTAGTAGATGGTATGAAAAAGCCAAGGGTATCCTGTCCTGGCAATCCCCCCAGTCAGTGTTGGCTTAGGAGAGAGGCAGGTTTGTTTCTCAAGAACTTGCTCATTCTCCATGAACCTGAAAATGGTTTGATTTCCAGTTAACATTTTAACACCAAAAACTAAACTGGGATACTCATGTATGGTCAACTGGGCTAGACCTTAATAGTCTCTAAGTCTTACAGCTTCACTAAATGCTTGTTTTCCATTTGCTATGTAGAGTTGCTTTGTCCATTTAATATTTAACTGTATTGGTGCAATTAAAATGCAGTGCAGCTCACTGACCCTGTTTTGCCTTAGAACTCAGTGGAGAGGGGAGAGTATCTGGGCCTTGGAGAATTTAAGTTCAGGTCCCTCAGTGCCTCACCCTGCCACAATGCATGGAGGAGCACTGCTCATAAGGTGTCTGCAGCTGGATGCTTCAGCAGTTCCCTTTTGGGGGCACTGGGTGGGGTAGATGGGTTTGTGTGAGGGCCAGAGCTACTGGGGCAAAACCTTTAGCCTCCGTAAGGCAGGCATATGGTAGGAGCTTGAAGTCTGAATATTCAAAAGTCAGGGCAGTGGTGGCACCCTGGTGGCCAGTAATGCTGTCCAAAATTCTCAGTCTGAAGGGAGGTGGGTGCGAGACAGACATGGTGTGAAAATGGTTACAGATTCTGTATTACCACACAAAGTCCTGAAGCATCAAATGCACTTGGTCAGGAGCTAATTTCAAATACCACAGCAGGACTTCTCATTGTCCACATCCATTTGCTCCTGTATCCAGCACAATATTAAAAACATCTGGAGAGACAAATTTTATACTGAAAATAAGAGAGCTGTTGCAGGTGTTGGCACAGCTGTTCTCGGTTTCAGTGCTGTTTCACATTTTGCATTCCATTTTGACAAAAATAACTTGGGGTGGGGAAGAAAGAAAACCAGAGATGTTTCAGTAACATTCAAGGTGACAGGACTTGGCAAGTTTTATCCTGACTTACTGCAAAAACTGGGTTCCACAACAACCTGTTAATAGTTACTGAGATCTCTTCCACTAAAACACAGAAGCAGTTCTTGTTTGGCATGCAGAAGCCTACTACCATTCAGAATTCCTATAAACAGTAGGATTTTCTACTGGAATTGAGTCCAGTAATACGGTACACAAAAAAAGCAAAAGTCTTACCTTCCAATAAAATTACTAAAATCTGAATTTAAAAGTTTTCTCTAACATTAAGAATACCTAGCTTGCTTAGTTCTGAATAGTTTTATTCTGAAGTAAAATGAATTATCTCAAAACAAAAGCTATAGCAACACTTATTGGTAGCCCTATTGCTTTGTCAGAGGCCTTTGGGTCATGACAGACTTAAAATAACTCTTCCTTCCTGGCAGCTTCAGGTTTATTCAATTCTGCTGTTGCCTTCCCTTGTCCTGCTGAATACTGTGGAGGAAAAAAGGGGCATGCATTTGACATAACACAGATACATTCAACTCTTAAGCCAGAGGTGTACTTTACTGCCCAACTGAAGGACTGCACATAGGCTCCCAAGATTTTTGTCACTCTTACCAGGAATGAAACAGTCATCTAAAAACTATTTTAGAAAATTTATTGAAAACTGACATACAAAGGGTGATTTGGTCCCAAGAGAAGACAGACCAGAATCGGATCTTTCGTATTTCAAAATAATGTTTTTCCTAATACTGCATCGCATTTGCCATCCCATTTGTGAACAGCATTAATAAAAGTCTTTTAATGAAGACAACAACAAATGAAACTCACAAATACAGAAGTCTGTAAATGCCCACAGCTTGATCTCTCATCCAATCACCCTCTCCAAGTGCTTGCTATAGCAAGGATCTTGCTCAGTGCTTGTCACTTGTTTCCCACTCTAACCCACTCTTCTCTCAATATAAGCAACTCAACCTCACTGTCTCCTATCACAAGGGCAGAAATGCATTGTGAAAAAATGAAAGCAAGTGTTTTCTATAAAAACAAACTTCTTAGACAACTTCTTTTCTCCATCTCATAGTCTTTGTCAACAGTGCACCACTCTATTGTTTTAGATGGCAGGAAACAGACTAGTGATGCCCTATTGGCATTGAATTAAGAGGAGAGACACCTCTGAAAGTCAACCTTTGGTACAAAGCTAGCAGGAAAAAAGTATGCTTAAAAGCAATCTACAACAATTTCTTATTCTGCAAATCTGATATAATATTTGGTGTTTTAAGAGGAAAACAACTGCATCATTTGATGTATTTATGCCTCCCACATTTTTTTACATCTTCTGTTGCAGTTTCAGTGTTGCTGAGATGGTTTCATCACATTTTTGAAATTTTCATCCTTTTTTTTTTTCAGTTTATTTAGGATTCAGAGCTTTCACCCAAAATACTTCCAACTTTGAACTTTCACTATAATCCAGCAAGCTGAAAACCAGTTACTTACTTAGAGACATCACATTTTCTACCTGCAGTGACTACAGCCTTCTCCAAACTGACTGCTTTTTGTTCTACTCAAGTACTGGAGCACGACAAAGGCTGTAGGTTTAAAGACATCCAGCAGCTTAATAATACGTAAGAAATTTTACACAGCTCATGCAAAAGATTTATAGCAGACCCTGAAATGAAATTAGGCATTATAGCAAGATAGGCTGCACATGTTCTTCAACTTAATAAACCTTCCAGAATGGTACAGGTGTATACTGGTTTCCAGAGTAATACCTAATCAAATGCTGGAGTGTTTTTAGTGAAACTCTAAAATGCTTTATCAACGAGATGGAAGATTTCAGACAACCTTCAACAAAAGCAGCAAGATAAACAGGGTTTAACAAACAGGTATCTTTCTAACAACCAGAAGGAAATAAAGGATGACTGCAAAAAGAGAAGATAGATTTTAAGCTTTTAACTATGGGTTATTCAACAGTAAAGAATATGACAAGGATTACCTTTTAGCTGTGCAGAGGAAAAGTAGATTTTCTTACATGAGCAGCTGTGTTACTATGCACTTGCTGCTTTATGTTAGCAAAATGTCCAAACCAGACTGGGACATAGGACTCTGAATAGAACCTGTTACTTGGAAAGGGATTTCTTATGAAAAGCCTCAATTCAGGTATCTCTGAGAAAGCTCAAGGACTTATGAACAGAAGATAAAACCCTTAAACAAGTTAAGAGAACCTTATGCATAAGGAACTGCTGTGCATTGAGAAAAGGTACAAGCAATAACTCATTGTGAATTCCTTTCCTTGGCACACTATGCAGGGTAGAATACTCTTTTGGCATACATCTGTATAAACAATGTGATGCTATATTATTGGTACATACTGTGGCTTAAATTTTATGTCTAGATTCTCTCAGGAAAAAGACAGGCATCTCCTTTACTTCACCAGCAAAGGCTGGGACTTGGATACAGACAATAATCCAGCATTTGACCCTTCTAATGACAGCAAACAGCTATTATCCCTGTTATCTGATTTACTTATGTATATCCAAATTAATGGATGCCATCCATTTCATCAGAAGTTACACTGTCTTCAACTGACTTTTCAACTCCATGCATACAAACAATCTCAGCACAATGTAAAATGTGAATCTCTTTGCTGAGAACCACTTTTCTCCAAACTTTGCATTGTTTGGGGAGGGCAACATCAAAAACCCACAAATAAAATTGAGAAGCCAATGAACCAAAGATGACTGAAGTTAGCAGGTATCCTGCAAGTTATAACTGCTGGCTTTACTTTCTACAAAGCAAAAGACTTAAACTCAGCTGTAATATTCCCTCCCTACCACTCCACAGATTGTGTAATTTCTACATCTGAGTTTACATCAAGTTCAAACAAACAAGATGGTGTGAAAAGCTGTATTACCAGAGGGACTTCAAATCTGTCACTAGATTTGAAGATATTTCTTCCTTTACATTTTGTAATTCAAATTAAACCAAATGGCCAACCATAGTATGTGCACCAGTTTCAATGGCTCAGTAAGAAAAAGGTGTGGCTTAAGCCACAGTTACATTCAGTATTTGGATTTTATGCTTTACCAAGGGCAATTAAGAGGATATTTCACCATGAAGCAAGATGGAAAGCAACTTCCCTGTTCCAAAGGCCTCTGAATTACCTTTTCAGTAAAAATAAGAATATTTAACAGATTGGAACATAGAAATCTTAGGGTGTTTCTGGCCACCCTATGATTGTGGTGTGCTTATGACTGTTAGTAAGAAAACAAAAACAAATAATGTAACTTCAGATTCACACATCAAACCAGAAAAAAAAAAAAACATCAACAATAAGCATCAGAAGCTCACCACTTCCAGTCTAAAATCTGGCATCTACAACTCCATTTCTTCTTCTGCACACCCAGATATTCCCAAACTAGCATATGGATCTGGAGACATGGCAGTCTGTTGTGATCCAGGGAACGTTTCAGTCTGTGGGTCAAAAGGAGCTCTTGGTATTGGCTGCTTAGCTTGACATACTTCTGTACTCTGCTGCTTGAAGTTCTTAACAGAAACAGACTTCAGTTTATCTGTCATAAATTCAGGAAGAGGTTTCCAAAGCACAAGCTCCATAGAAGGACGGCTCCTAGAAGGGATGGAGTTTCAGTAAGAAATTTAAGTTCTCCAAGCACAGCTATTAAATGCAGAAGACCTGTATCTTGATCCTTTGAGCTAGCCTGAGACCACATTCCAGAAATATATACCTCCCCCCCCCCATTTAATTTCCTCTTCCCTAACTAGTTCCATTATTTCTAGTTCTAACTCTGTACTTCCTCTCTTTTTTGCACCAAACTTGACCCCTGTTGGTCACACTTCAAGATCTTCTCATTTTGGAAATTCATATACATGAAACCAAAACTGATACTGGTTCACTCAACAAATTTCACTCTGCAGACATGAGGAGTAACAAACACATACTTGATGACCACTACAGTTACACTTATTTCTTTTGTACATTAGGACAGTTTTTCCTATTTTTAACCAGATGAATGGTCTGTTATACAATGTTGGCTGCATCACGCAGTAATCAAGGACATCTCCATAAACATGAAACGAGGTCTCTCTTTTCATTTGCACATGTTAGCTACATAGCACCGTGATTTCCTCCAGAACTTACATAGATTCTATTATTTTCTTTGTCAGGACTTCACCAAAATCCCTCTTCATCCCTTTCTTAAGGGTATCTGACAGGATAAGAGTGGGCAGATTGCTAACACTTCCATCAGCATGAACTTCCTCATCTTCATCAATTATCCTGGGAATGGAGGGGGAAGAGGGAGATAAACACTATTGAGTATACTGTTATCAGGAACATCCACTGCAGACTACAGTCACGTCTACATGCTCTGCTCTGTGCAGATCTCTGACCTGGGCTGGGTACCAGAAGCAGCAGGGCCATGAGTCTCTCTTGGGCCAAAATACCCTGACAAGGACTCATCACAGAAGCCACTTGAGCAGCAATGCCACTTCTGGTACCTGAGCTATTTGTTACCCCTGTCTTATCCCAGCAGTGTCAGTGACAACATACACTGAGAGAAAAGAAACAAATTCCCTCCAAGGGAAACACTGATTCAGTCACGTTACACAAGTGAGTCTCAGCTATGCAGCTGCTTCACCTGCTCAATTCACCAAAATGGATTTTGAGAATTATTGCAAAGGTACTGAAAATAGTGCTTTGCTTTTCACAACACTGTGCCAGCTTCTGAGATTAAATCAGCACAAATTGTTGAAGTGTTTAGAACAAATGGAAGCATCTCCTTTGTTTTTGGTTTTTGTTTTACAGAAAATTTAGCGGTGTAGCTGGGAAGAATAGGGAACAATCCTCCAAGAAGACCAAAGCAGACATAGATAATAGAGACATTTCACTACTCTGATTTACCCATTTAAAAAATAAGTCTAACAGTACCTTGCTTCTCCTTTTGCATCATCTATGGAGTAATCTACCAAAAATCTTGTTTTAAAAATTCTATAACTTTTGGCTTTTCTAATCATCTGCAGTGGTCATTTTAGATATTTTGGAATACCAGCTCCTCTGCAATCAACTGATACATACACATACCATTCCCAGAAATCTTTCAAGGGCCAGAATGCACAGTAAATTTATTAAAAGACTACAGCAGACTGTCTATAGCCACCCAATTACCCCACATCAGACCATCAGCAAGATGAATCTCAGCCTTACTGCACATGTGCAGAGAGACCTCTGTGGTTCATGCTGCCCCCTCTCCACTGACAAATTCACATCTATTTTAAATTTAAATCACAGAACAAGCTGCAGTTGGTTGAAAAAAACTGAGCTCAAGCCTGAGCAGGTAAATGTTAGAATGTGAGCTTCTGGATGCTCACAGAAGAGCATTAAACCCCCTTATGGTATATTGAAGCTGCATAATGATTGTGAGCAGGGTGTTATTTACTTAGCATCTCCTGCTCTAGCACCCTCCATTTCAGATCAGCCTGAAGATTCACAGAACCATGGGTAGCCTAAAACGAAATCATTTGTACAGAAGGTTCACCTTAGACTTACAGCAGTGTTATCACACTGCTGAGTGCTAGATTTACCCCTGAATGCCCACCAAAAAAGGGAAAGCTCAGCAAAGCCAGGCTACTCAATCCCTGCATTTACCTGTCCTCAATTTCCTGAAGTTTCCTGCGAGCAACCTCGCATTGCTGTTCCCCCATTGTCTGATCCATTTCTTCACAGGGAATTTCTAACATGGCAGTTTCAGGACCGCTGCCACCATACTGACTTGCTACCTCCCCAGCTGCCTGCTGACCTGCACAAAGAATCCATTCTTCAGTGCTGGGATTCAAAGGGCAATTTTTGGCTCCTGTCAGTCTCTTCTTCCGCACAGGACAGCTAGGAAACAAAGTAAGTTTACAATTGTCAGAAAAAGAAATGTGCCACTCTACAGGAACAAATGTAAAGTGCATTTCAGCAGCATTGACACATTATGGCAAAGCAACCTCAACAAAGAAAATAAATCCACATTACCCTTAGTAAAATGAGAGTACCTATTCAGGAAAATCAGCGTCACACATTTAATTAGGTAATAGAAATGGATTTGGGCTCATGTACAATTCAAATGGAAAATGATAGATTTCCTTCCTGTTTGTATTGTAGGTGAGATGTGCTCAAGTCTTTTACAAAACAAAAAGCAAATCAGGATTTTTCAGGCTATAAAATACAAATTAATTTACCCTTCTGCCTCTTCTTCTAGCTTATGCTTCTTTCCACATCGCACAGAGACACTACAAAAGAAAAACAGTTACTTGGCTTCAAATCTTATCTTTTGGTTACACGGATATTTTCAAACAATGTTTTCCTCCCTTTGAAAATTTCATCTGAGATCAACAGTCACAGTATGTCACCAGTTGTGATGGGAGTAAAAGTTTGGGACAATAAATGGCCAATTTGTTCCAAATGAAGTCAAAGGCGGCTGTAATTGCTCAGTTCTCTGAACAGAATTCCACGTTAACTTCTTCTCCTCTCATAATTTAGTTTTCCACAAGGGGCAAGACCAATTTTTGCTAAAATTCAAACATTTCAAGAAGCAACACACGACCCAGCTTGAATCTGTTAACACTTTGTATCACAGGGATACTAAAAAAAAATACTGAAACAAATAAATAAGTTTGAAAGTATGCAATGATGATACACTCCATCTTGCCTTTTAAAATAATCCTTCATCCCCCACCACCCAGCTTCAAGGTCCTTAGCCGAGCACAACACAATTTCCTAACCTCCCACCAGCTACAAGGAAACAAATCCATCCCAGCGGCCTGGCCAAGCACCCGGCGCAGTTGCCCACTGCCGGCCCCGGTGCTGCGGGAAGGGCTCTGGCACTTACTGGCTGCGGCTCCTGCTGAAGGAGCTCACCGGGGCCGCCGCCAGCCCCGCGCTGTGGCTCCCCAGCGCGGCCAGGGAGGCCAGCTCCAAGCTGCTCTGCAGGCACAGGCCGGAGGATCCGTCCACGCCGTCGCTTCCGATCCCTGCCATGAGCATCCCGGGGGGCTGCAGGCGGCCGTGGCCGCCGGCTAAGGGCTGAGGGCCGAGGCGGTCCGGGGCAGCGGCCGGCGCCGCGGAGAGCTCCACGGCCGGGCCCGCCGGGATGCCCTGACAGGGTCTGCCTAGCGCTGCCATTTGCTGCTGCTGCTGCTGCTGCTGTGGGGGAGAAAGCGCACATCAACGCCGCGATCCGCCCTGCCCGAGGCGCTCCCTCAGGAGCCGCGCACGAAACCTCCTCCGGCCGCAGCGCTCAGCCGGGCCGGGCCGGGCCCGCGGCGGCGGCCACCGCTACAACCGCTCCTTCCAGGCCTTTCGCCGCGATCCGATAAGCACCCGCGGGCACTGTGGGAGCTGTAGTCCCGGGCGTTGTGGGCCCTGTGGGAGCTGTAGTCCCGGGCGCTGTGGGCCCTGTGGGAGCTGTAGTCCCGGGCGCTGTGGAACCTGTGGGAGCTGTAGTCCCGGGCACTGTGGGACCTGTGGGAGCTGTAGTCCCGGGCGCTGTGGGACCTGTGGGAGCTGTAGTCCCGGGCCCTGTGGGAGTTGTAGTCCCGGATGCTGTGGGAGCCGCAGTCCCGGGCGCTGTGGGCCCTGTGGGAGCTGTAGTCCCGGGCGCTGTGGGACCTGTGGGAGCTGCAGTCCTGCGCTCTGTGGGAGCGGGGTCCCCGCTGGGCGTGGCGGGGTCCCGGGGATGGCAGGGCCGGCCCCTCTCCTGTCCTTAGCCCGGCCTAATCCCCGCAGCGGGGCGGGCACGGTCCGACAGCCAAATCCCGGTCAGCTGAGGAGCTCAGGGGGACTCGGGGAGGTGGCGAGCGGAGCTGGAGCTGCGGGCGGCAGGAGGGAGAGATGGCGCCCCGGCATACGGTAACCGGCCGTCCTTGTCGTTAGCTGCGGGAGGCTGCGGGTTCTGCGGGAGAGCAGAGTGGGAACACAGAAGTGCAGTGCATGTACACAGTGCAAGAGGTGGGAAAGCTCCCAGAGGCTTTATCGAAGTTAGACATCCCTGTCACAAAAAAGTTCAGAACCGTTGAGGAGAGTCCCACTGGGTGGAGAGGAAAAAACCAAAACCAAATAACCAAAATAAAAACAACAGCAACAAAAAGCAAAGCTGTGTCTTAATACATTAGTAACTTAAGCAAAGCTGTGTTTTAATACATTAGTAACTTAAGTTCTTTGGCACCTTTTTTTTTTTTTTTTTTTTTTTTTCCTGTAATGTAGTTTATTAAATTTTGCAAAGGAAATCTAACTCAGGCCATGCTCAGAATGGAGCACCAGCCCCTGCTCAGAGGCTCTAGCTCGCCCTGCAAGGTAAGCAGAACCATCCTGGCCTCTGAAGGTGGATCCTGCAGGGAGTTTGTAGTTTTAGCAGTGATGTACAGGTGTGAAATGTGCGGGAATTTCATGTTAGCTTTTAAATAGAAATACATTAAGTGATTAGACTCATCAGGTTTTGCGGTTTTCTTGGACACCTGGCTGTGTTAGAAAGTGGAAGCTCTAAAAGCAGCTTTCTGATTCTTGTGTTTTACAATTGAATACAAACTGAATTTTGTTTGTGTCATGTTTCTGGGATGAAGTGAACGCTTTTATAAACTGTCAGGAGTTCAGAACACATGAGGCTGTTATGTGTGCTCTCTCCAAACTCCAATGTGAGACAGCATACCAGTGTCACGAGCCCAGCTGATTTGGACAGGAAGAACAAAAAACCTGTCATTATAAAACCTAAGTTATATGATGTATGTTCAGTATTTTGCATTGTTTGTTTGTTTATTTTCTGTCCCTTCTAGATTCCAGGTTGTACCCATAAGACACAGAAAATATGTTTACAGTACTTAGTATAAGGGTCTGCGTGTGCAGTTCCAGTATTTACCACATCAGTTTTGTTTTTTTCTACCATACTCACTGCAGCCCTTACTTATAACTCGTAATTCATTGCTCGGGTTGACATTCAGAGAAACACTTTTTATTCTTGAAAACTGTAAGGAAATGTTAATTGGATTTTACTTTAATAAGGTAAATTTCAACTTGCAAATTTTAGGGAGGGAGGGAGGAAGGAAGTTTTGATGAATTATCTTTAGGAAGGACACAGCTCTTTCAGAATACAGTACAGTATCTGGAATAACTCAGCATTTCTGGGAACTGGACCAAGAATGAAAATGATGAAGAATTAGTCTACATACCTTACAATGAGGAAATCGGGGAGTAGGAATTTATTAAAATAAATATGTACAGCCTTTATGTATGAAGGAAGGGGAAATTTGATCACTGAAATGCCTTTAATATAGGAAACATTGTTGTGTCCAGCTGAAATTAATCAATAATTTACTATGAGATGAGATTAGGCCCTAATTTAAAAGGAAAGGTTTGCTAGACATTTGAACTGGATGTTATTTTTGGTATGATCATAGTCAGTAAACGTAAACTCAGAGAGCCCCACATGAGAATATCAAACATTATATAAATCTCTGGAGATATCTGGACATGGGGCCTCATTCAAAGTATGGTTTGTGACTATACCAGACCTTGAGATTTGAATGTAACACAGTAGTAGTTTGTGTTGACCTTAAAACCTGTGAATCTGTGGCTCTATGAATTTTAGTTTGTAAATACTGATTTGAGACTGTAACTAGGTCATAGATATTGAAAACTTTAAAAAATACATGCCAATATGACAAGAAATTTTAAATTAATATTATTGCTAGTGAACAAATTATTGTGATTGAGATACTAAGGTTTTGCAGACATCCAGTAATCATTTTAGGGACTTAAAATATTGTTTAGAGGGAAATAAAGCGTTGTTACTTATCACATCTTGGTTAAAATGTGACTCACAGAAATTGAGATTTGGTTAATTCTTATACTGAGTCTGTGTCTCTAACACCAGACATAAACAGTCATAGCATTCTTTCATTAAAAACAGACACCATGAGCAGTGTGGCTTATGCAAAAAGCATTTGCTCAGTTTCTAATAACAGCTGTAATAGTTTTGTTGCCTACATTTAATCTGGAGACTTGTAACTGTGGTATTTCTAAAGACCTGTTAATGATCAGGGCCAAAGCCAGCCTGAAATGCTTCTCCTGCTGCAGTGTTCAGGACTTCAGGCTGTTTTTTAAACAAATGCTTTGACTGCTCCAAATGATATACATGATGTATTTAACCCTAATTTTCTTTTAGTTATTACATGTGTGTGGGCTCAGGGTCCATCTCTTTTCATGCCCATGATTTTCTTTTGTTCCCCAGCTCCCCAGCTGGACGTTGTTCCTGGCTGTTTGTGCTGTTGGAATTGGAGGCACCTTTCAGTATGGGTATAATGTCTCTATTATAAATGCACCCACACAGGTAAAAGCTTATCTTTTGTTGGGGTGTTTTCTTTCTGAACTCGGCCACAAGGCCAAATGTGCTTTTGCTGTGATCACAGTGGGAACTGAAGCACTCTTCCTCTCGTGTGAAGGAATCTTGTTCATTTCCTACATGGTTTCTAGTGCATTTGTTTGTGAGTACCTCCCAACAGAGCTAGTCTGTGTCAGACAAAAGTGCCAAATAGGCCACATCAATCCCTTTATTATTAGAAGGATTAACTGAATAAGTAATATATTTTTCAGTTATTAAAATCACCCAGAACACTAAGGGTAGAATAGACCAGAACATTTTCAGTTGGAAGGGACCTACAATGACCATTTAGTCCACTTCATGGCTGACCAAAGTTAAAGCATTGTCCAAATACCCTTGGAGCACTGACATTGTCTGGGAAGCCTGTTCTTCTGTTTGACCGCCCTTTCTGTAGGATATCACCACTGTTTATCCAAATGTCAAGTTTAAACCTCCAAGTTAAACCTGAGCCATTCCATTCTTTCTATCACTGGATAACAGGGAGAAAGCATAGTTACTATTTAAAGGTGCCCATCACAAGGCAGATTACTGAAAAAGTCCTTCTTAGGGAATTAAAGTGTTGCATCTATAGTAGCTGAGTAACTTGTAGGTATTTTCACTTGTTACTTGAGTGTTCTTTGCTGTAGCCTCCAGGATTCTGTATATTTTGTGGATGACTCAAGGATCTGGGCAAATGTTCTTGTGAAAGTGGTGGGTATCATTTTTTTGCTACCAGCTGATTTTTTTTGCTTGGGAAACTGTGAAGATTGAATTTGCTTCAACACTGTATGCTTTTTACAAAGCTTAAAAGAAGCTGTTTGTGAAAGAACATGTCATATGCTGGGAACTGAGGGAGAGTCCAAGAAGTTTGTCCTTCTGTAGTCTTTATTTGCAGGCAAAGAACGGGAGCCTCTGATTACAGATACATGCCAGTTCAAGAGTTTAGTCTAAAGGCAGATTTTAGAAAGCCAAGCATGTGGAATAACAGCTTCAAAGTTCTGACGCATGAATACTGTCAGAAAGGTGGAGGATTATTAAAGTTGAAAAACGACTTTGCTATGACTTTTTGGATTACACTAAGGCAGGGAGGTTTCTATCTATTCTGCCAGTCAGATGGTATCCCTTAGAATTAACACCCAGAATTGATTTTCAGGATTGGGGTGCAAGTTATTTGTAGTGCTGTGTGTAGGGCTTTATAAAATGCTACACATTCATCACTCTTTTCTACTGCAGCATATACACAAGTTCTTAAACGAGACCTGGAGTAGTCGTTACCAGAAGGAGCTAAATCCAGATTTGCTGACTTTTCTTTGGTCTGTCATTGCTTCTATCTTTTCCCTTGGAGGCCTGTGTGGAGCCCTGATTGGAGGCAGCATGGCCATACGCCTGGGCAGGTCAGTTGCAGCAGCAGGCATATGAAAGCATGTTTGCTTTTCCTACCTTCCAACTGGAGTAGAAAATAAATAAATGGAAAAAGAGTGTGAGAAAAGAGTACCTTTGTTACCTATACGTGTTTTTTCACTTTAAAACTGAGTTTTCTAGTGAAATTTTACAGTTTATTCCAGTGTGACTTTCAAGGATGTGCCCTGAATTATGAACTTAGTCTGAGTATTTGCATTACATTTACTGAAATCTGAGTAGGGGAATGCACACAGAGTGTGTTGGAAACATGAGTTCCCCCCTGACACGTTTGCAGCCCTTGTGCCAGTAAGGATATGCTGCTTCATCTGTTGCACTTCATTTGTCTAAATGAAGAAACCCCACTCCTACCTTCTCAGGCATTTCTGTCATATTTATACATTATTCTTATGTTTAGACATTTTAAAAACATAAGCAGTTGTATCAGATATCTGGGTTTCCAGGGAATAGCATGTTTCTTCAGTGTAAAGTCCATTTATCCCCCGACATTATCAGAAAGGAAAACTGTTTAAAAACCCACAGACTTCCATAATGTCTGTTTGATGTGGGTTGTTTCTGGTTTTGGGGGTTTTTTGTTTATTTTAATAAGTTTTTGTTTGTTCTCTGGTGGTATTATTATTATTATTATTATTATTATTATTATTATTATTATTATTATTATTATTGTTATTGTTATTGTTATTATTGTTATTATTATTAATAATTTATTTATTTATTTACTTATTTATTTATTTACTTATTTACTATTATTAATTTTGTCCCTCCTTTTTAGGAAAGGAGCTCTTTTGATGAATAATATTATAGCAATACTAGCCTCCATTTTAATGGGGATCAGTTTTCCTACAGGATTGTTTGAGTTACTGATTGCTGGAAGGTTTTTGATTGGCATAAATTCAGGTGAATGATTTCTTATTCCTCCTATCAATAAAATATGGTGAATGATAAATTATTGTTATTTCTGATCCTTTAGGTTTTATGATGAAAATGTTCTGTAGTTTAGCTTGGAATCTGAAGGCAGCTAAATGAATAGGAAATGAATTAAGTCCAATTTTGTATGTGTTTTGGTTTAGTAACTCTTTGCAAAGCAATTTCTATTGATAGGAAAATGTTTTTTCCATTTACATGCAGGTATTGGGCTCTGTGTGCAGCCTCTTTACATTGGGGAGTTTGCTCCAAAACACCTAAGAGGTGGCTTGGCCATGGGAACTTCCATCTTTCTGACTGGGGGGATTCTGACAGGACAAATAATTGGTTTGAGGTGAGAAATATTAGAGGTTTTTTTTCCTGTGTTGTGTTATTCCTGTGTAAGAATTCCAATTTCCTACAGCCCATTGTAGGACATTCCTTGTGCCATTGTAGCATTAGAATTCACACAAGGTGCTCCTGGGAGAAGAAAATCCTGCTTGAGTCACATTATTCCCACGACTGCCAGCCATCAGTGCTGTCTCCTCGGAAAGTTGTCAGTTTAGATGGGTCACCAGAACAGAATCAGTAAAGCAGCCACATTTGAGCTGGGTTCATGTTTTCTGCCAATTTCTTGCTGGAGACAGTGGATGTTGGCAAGGATTTGAGAGCAAAGGACTCACATTTCTGTATCACAGCACTACCACTGCTTTTGTCCCCTGTATCATCAGAGGAAGTTGCTCAGGCCTTCATCCAGTTGGAACTCAGAAGTTCCAAGTGCAGAGACTGCACTAAACAGTAAGCAATAGCTAATTATTATATTTCTTTGCCTTCTTTTTTCACATTTTTCACAGAGAATTATTGGGTGGAGAAAAGCATTGGCCTGTGTTGCTATCCAGCAGCTGTATTCCAGCATTAGCCCAACTGTTATTCCTTCCATGGTTTCCTGAAAGTCCCAGATATCTTCTTATTGACAGGGGTGATGAGTTGAGCTGTGCCAAAGGTAATATTCATCATCTGTACTTTCTGTTCTCCAGAAGGGTACAATGATTATATTGGGTTCCAGATTCTCCTTTTATCTTTATCCACACAGCAAAGTTGTATCATCTAGTGCTTTTTGGCCCATGCTTTTCCTCCAGTGAGCTGATATGGAGGAAGGGATTGTGGAACTCAGGAGCTCATAATGGGTTATGAACAAAACTTTATTATCCTTTCAATATTTCAAATATAAGTTCATTGACTGGAGCTCCAAGCTGATTACTCTCAGTGGAAAGTTCATTATCAGGATTTTCAGAACTCCTGCTGTTGACCTTAAGAAGACAAATTGTCACTTGAGATCTATTTAATCATGAAGATTTTAAGGAAACTGATGCTGTATAATCTTTAAGACCATTTGTAAAGATTTTAGTCTGGGATCCAAATGACTTCTGATTGCATTTGCCTTATGAGAAGGATTTTATGTCTTTGCTCCAGCTCACTAACTGCATCCCACTGGCAACATTAAAGTCAGGGCCATAACAAAGGACTCAATATCTGCCTAGAATTTAAGCAAAACTCCTCAAACTGGTAAGAGCGTACTTTAAGGAAAAGACTATTTGAAGGTCTGAGGCTCAGATACAAAATATTTTGCCTGATGAATATTTCAAGATCAGATATTCCTCTAAAAAGAAACAAAGAAATGGCACAGAATTTTTCAAATCCACCACAGCAAAAAATGTTGTAAAAGCAGCAAGGAACAAGCAAGTCACAAAGCAAATTTTTCATATCCTAGCAAAAGCCAAGTCATTATGGAAAGAGATTATTTTCCAGGAGTTGTGGATAATAGGTAACATAAATTCTTTTTTTCTATTTGTAGCTTTGAAACGATTTCATGGTTCCTCTGAGTATCGAAGGGAGATGGAAGACATCCAGAGGGAATGTTTTGCCTTAGGTGGGGAGAAACCCAAGAAGCCCTGGCAGTTATTCACTGACCGTGCTGTGAGATGGCAGCTCATCACTGTCATCGTGATGACAATGGGCCAACAGCTCAGTGGCATTAATGCTGTAAGAGTTCATGTGAACAAACAGCTTCAATAATTATTTCATTTCCACCTGTTTTTCAGCCATTTATTAATACAAAGGATCCACATAGAGAAGCTCAGAGAAATGGGATAAGTGAGAAAGAATATCCTTGCATTATTTTGGTGTTTTTCTTTTTTTTTTTTTTTTTTTCCTAATTTCTGTGTTTCTGGTATGCAAACTTTTCTAAAGAATAACTTGATACTTCCTCTGAAAACGTAAATAAACGTGGATCCGTTTATCCCAGTGTGTCTGCTTCAAGAATATAAAGCATATTCAGTGAGTTAAATAATCCTGTTGGCTTCTATGACAGCAATATGTTTACTTAGACATGAATTTAACAGATTGTTATTGCTGCCTATGTTGACTTAGTAGCTCACAATATAAAAGACATTGATCTATATGTTTAATATGAACATGACTTTATTTCCAGGCAATGTTTTAAATACCAGAAAAACCTAATTGTTTGGTTTTGGGGTTTTTTTTCTGTTGTAGATTTATTTCTATGCAACTTATGTTTTTGAACAAGCTGGAATCGTGGCAGAAAAAATCCCGTATGTGACACTCGGCACTGGAGTTTGTGAATGTATCACAGCCCTCTCCTGTGTAAGGAGCAGTTTGTTCTACCTCCCAGTACAGAGTAATGGTTATTCTTGAAGAATATTGGTAAAAATGAGATCAGTATATTAACAGAAGATTGTATCTTGTCCACAGGGTTTGCTGATAGACCATGTGGGAAGAAGATGCCTTATCATTGGGGGCTATCTCCTCATGACGCTGTGGTGCACTGTTCTGACCTTCTCTCTGACTTATCAGGTGCAAAGCACTTGTTCCTGTTACACCATGTGACTGAGAAAAGGGCACATAGTGACACAATAATGGGGAGTGGGTTTAAACTGAGAGTAGGGTTAGATTAGGTATCAGGAAGAAATTCTTCCCTGTGAGGGTGGGGAGGCCCTGGCACGGGGTGCCCAGAGGAGCTGTGGCTGCCCCTGGATCCCTGGAAGTGTCCAAGGCCAGGTCAGATGGAGCTTGGAGCAACCTGGGATAGTGGAAGGTGTCCCTGCCCATGGCCAGGGGTGGGATGGGATGAGCTTTAAATTCCTTCCAGCCCAGCCCACACTATGCTTACCTAATTCTAATATGATTTAGTAAAAATCATTGAATGAACACTATTTAATTTCTCTGAAGCAGAACTGTTAAATAAATTAGCTGTAAAAGAGTTGTGAAAGACTGCTGGTCTTAATTGAAATAAAATACAGAAGGAAACATAACTGTTAAGCCAGGCTTTAAAACTGGATTATCAAAAGCTGAACTAAACCTTCTCATTGCCTTCTGTTTCAGGAGCTGTACTCCTGGGTGCCTTACCTGAGCATGACGTGTGTATTTGCCTTCATCTTGAGCTTTGGGCTGGGCCCAGGTATTGCACAGTAATGTGTGTGACTGGGGGAAGGTCTGGGAGGGCCGGGGTGGTACACAGGGAAGAAGCCTTTGCAGCACAGCTGCTGCTGCTCTGGCTGAGGAACCCAAGTGAGGCCATATGTAGCCCACAGCTGAGGCTTACCATGCACAATTCTGGGGCAGCTATGTGTGAGGAGGGTGAAGTTCTGCCCTTCAGGGCAGAGGGGTTCTGCACTTGTCAGAAGGGGCCTGCTCCCTGATCAGTGCTGCTGAAACGGGGCTGTGATTTAGTGGGAAATTTCCTGCAAGAGCAGTAGCCTCAGAATTGTGCTGTTAGGAATTATAATAGATCCGCTAATGGCATATTCAAATCTTTTGTAGCATTGGAAGTACCTTAAATGGACATTTAGCACAATTCTGTTTCTGAACTGTCCTCAGGTGGCATAACAAACACCATTACAGCTGAGTTATTTGTACAGTCCTCACGTCCTGCTGCCTACATGATCGCAGGGACTGTGAGCTGGATTAGTTTCTTCACAGTTGGAATGCTCTTTCCCTTCATAGTGGTATGTACAGCACAATTTCCATTTCATCTGCTCCCAGGTTCCATCCCATTGCTTGTATTGTATTATATATTCTTGCATATATTACAGACACTTGACCAGGATGCACACTGTCCCTAAATGAGTTTAAGTAGATTCAGTCCCTCTTAAAAGTATTTTTTACACATCACAAACCTCAATATAACATGATAAATGAAAAGTAAAGGAATGCACTGGAGGGCAATATTCATGTTCAGAGGAAAGAGAAGGTACCAAAAGCAGAAGAACTTAATCAGATACTGAGATTTAGATAAAACATTTTTTAATAGTGCCTTGTGCTTTTATGGCCAAGTAATGTTGAGGTGGTACCTGTGGCCAGTAAGTCACATTTCTGAGAACTTGCTGACCTGACAGAGTTCTGTAAGCAAAAGATTAGGAAAGGCAAGACAGTCTCCAGGTTTGTATTTTTAGTTTTAGCACATATTCTTGACAGCAAAACCCACAGGAACAGCATTCATCTGAGCATCTGGATCTGCCTGTCCTTTCTTCATGGCTGAGCTCTGCTTCTCAGTAAGACAGTTTTGTTCTTTAATGTACAGCATTAAAAAATATTAACATTCAGAGAAACTTAAATTATATAATCTTAAAATACGTGACAGCTAAGTAGCAAATGTTGACTTCTAGATTGTGATATTTGACTGTTTAAATGGTTTATCTTATTTTTAAAATAAAAGTCTACCCAATAATTGCACAGCACTTGACAGTCTTTTATCTAAAAAGTTACAGGTAAAGAATAGGTTGAATGACTCCTTTTAGAAAAACATCTGAGCAGCAATGTTAAGTGTAAATGGAAACAAAAACCTTATTTTCTCAAAACTACTATTATTACACTTGAAATATGTTGCAATCATTTATTTTCAGAATGGACTGAAGCAGTATTGTTTTGTGGTGTTCTTACTGGAGTGCTTCTTTGTTGCTGCTTTCATCTTCCTCGTAATTCCTGAGACAAAGAACAAATCTTTTCTGGAAATCAAAAAGGAATTTCACAAGCTTAATTTTGGAAGACATGCCAGGAAAAAGGAAACGGAGATTTATGAAAGAAGGCAACTTCAAGATGAATTTTTAAAGATTTCTGCATAATTTCACAAATGCAATAGAACTTCAGTGAGAATTATGAACCTAGTTTTCTAAATTAGGAGTGTAATACAGATCAAGTGGCTTATTAAATCTTCCTGTGTATTTAGAGGAAGTGTAGCTAAAGGCAAGTTAATACTGCTGAACTGCTGAAATACTAACAACATATTGTATTATCTACAGAAAACTTGATGTTTAGCTGCCATCTGGTGCTGTAGGGATGCAGAAGTGCCAGGGAGGATGTTCAGTGAGCCCCTCTGGCAGATAATTCAGTGACTCTGATATCTAATTTCTGCAGGTAATTCAGTGACTCTTGCATTTCAAAGCCCTGTCTTCAGTTTGGGTCATTGGGTGTATCCAAATGCTTTGCTGAATCTAACATTCTGAGTCCTTGTTAAAACCCACACAAAAACTGAGAACTGATATTTGAAATAGTCTAGATTATGTAGAAATAGGGGTATTTAGTTTATGTTTTTCCAGTTATGTAACTTTGAAAGCCTTAAAGACATTCCTCATGCAGTCCTACTACAACAAAAGTACAGCAACTCTCTGAGTTACTGGTATTTCTAATAAAAACTTGTATCCTGATAAAAGAGTGCCTGGTGTTTCAATCTGGTTTATTTTTTCCCCGTACCTAGCATCTTAACATTTTAAACTATGCAACAGGGTAAAACTTCTAGTTTTGGAGGTTAGTTGCCATCAGACTGAGATCTACATACCAAAAAGCCTGAAGTAGCAGAGAGGACAAATGACAGGTATTGAATACTTTTTACCTTTAAACTACAGGGAGCCTGTAGGATGCAGATTGACCTTCTGCCCCCTGTCCGGTATTTTTTCACAGGCTCTTTTTCAACTTAAAATTAATTCTTCACATTAGGAAGTAAGAAATCTCACATCTGGTGTTTGTGTGCCTATCTGATATTTTTTTCCATGCCTGCCACTGCCAGGACAGTGGCCCACCTTACCCAGTACAACTTCTCCTGGCTGTAAGCATTTCCAAATGCCATCTGTTACTCAAGTGCTGCAGCAAGCATGGGATTTCTTTTATATATATTTTCCTCCTCTCAGAATGAAAGCTTTTAATGGAAGTACAAGAAACAAACACCCTTGGTCTGATTTTGGTAACAAAACCATCAGTTTAATTGAAAATAACACTAACTCTTAATAGCTGAAAAGGCAACATCAGGAAGGGATCTTCTTGGCCTTTAGTTTATCCTCTAAGTTTGCAAAATACTTCATTTTTGCTAGCAGCTTCTTGGCTTCTTGAAGATCATCTGAAATGAAATAAAACATTACTGGTTTACAGAGGGAGGGGTGAATTTGCGTTTTCAAAATGAATCTCAGTATTTCAGTGACAGCACCTGTTTTAGTAACAAGAGTTGTCACCTGCAAGAACTCAGACATTATTAAAACCATGCTGCCTATTGTTTTAACCTCAGATGCTTTGGGAACATCTCAACTCAAATGTTTCACAAAATACATAACAATAAACATTTTGGAAAAGAAATGTGAATGAATACCCTTTAGTGACTCCTGTAAAGTGGCTGCAGTACTGATCTATCCATTTGGCAAGACAAATGTTTTTATTTAAAAGGTGTATAAATAGATTAACTGACATAACTGAAACATGCAAATGAGGAATAGTCTGGTCTGGACAGTACCAAGTCCAAAACTGATATTGAAACAATTTCTCCTTAAAGGGGAGGGTGGTTTATGACCTACAGACAAAGGCAACACAGTCCTTCTCATGGCACAGAGTAACAGGACATAACTCCTCACAGACAGGCCCAGCCAGCAGCACTGTGATGTTTACAGCTACACACACCCACCCCTGGCAAAAGTGCAGCATTCTGGACCTGGCACAGAACCACAAAGGTTTCTTCCCAGCTTCAGAAGCTTGGGAATGATTCAAGCTTGTGCCTATCCATTGGCTGTAGAATAAAGTTACGTTGATTATTGCACAGGAAGTTCCCAAATCCTTATGCTGAACAGGCCTTTACTTGCCACACAGCTGCTGTGGCTTTCACTGCAAAGAACAGCACTCACTGCTCTACTGCAGCTCCAGGACTGCAGGACAACATCTCCCAAATTCAAGTGTGAAACCTCAGAATATGTCTAGGATGAAGTCTGTCCTTCCCAGTATTCTGGGAGACACACAAACAATTTCTTAGCATTACATTCCCACTCAGAATGATTATTTAGATGCAAGATGAATGGAACTTTTGTACTGGACTTTGCTTTTAATGTGAGCTCCTGAATTTCCCAAATCAGCAGGAATGTCAGTTTAGAAGTACTTATTCTAACTACCTAACAAAGAATCCTTGTTAATGCAGTATTTCTATTCCATAGCTCAGAAAATATTTGCCAGTAAGAGACTATGGAGCTTTAAGCATTTGACAGGTATGTATGGCAGCTAAAAACTGCATAAAATCAGGTACCTCTTTCAAAAGCTGCAGTCACCTCTCTGGTCAGTTCTTCTTGTTTAACTGTAAAACAAATTATTTAATTTACTTTTTTTTTATACTTAGGGTATTTGATAGCACTGTATTCTGACTGCCTGTGGTGAGAAAGTTCATTACTAGTTTCAGCCTTTGGCAGCCAAGTGAGTTTTTTATTATACTGCTGTCAATGTTGTTTTAATTATAATTTCAAACACGTATTTCTTTAAATAAATAGGTATACTGACAGCAATTCCAATGCACATCAATGGTCACTAATTTCCCAGAAATCTAAGTTATTTTTGGTGTATCAGTTTGCCCTTCTACAGTTAATTTTCTCCTGTGTTACTCAGTTTTTATTCTAGTTATTGTAGTTGCTTTTAGCACATAGTTGTTATGGCAAAGAATTAAATATATCAGTAAACCAAATGTTTTTGGTATCACCAACAATGTAAAGACAGTTGCTTGTGTAAGGAGAGTAACCACTTAATATAATGGCTGCCAGATGAAGAAGGTGAAAGAACTATAATGCCTTTATAAATAACATTATTTAGTGTGGTTAGACAAGCATTTTATTCAACTTCATTCTGATAGGTTTTTTCCTTTGGAGCAATTGACTAACGCGATGAAGGTTGAGTAAATTCCTTTTTATTGTTTATATGTATTTATTTTGACATCAGAACAGTTCTGTTATACAAATGTTCTCAAGACAGATGTGATGTTTAGGTGCATAAATAGGTAAAGACAACACTGGAAAAGGGGGAACAGGGCAGAAGCTCTTGCAATGAGTCAATTCCAGACTAACACAAATTGAAGACATTACAAGAAGTATACCAAAACAGTTTAAATCTTTCAGACTCTTGTATTACACAAGATTCAGTATATTAGTTCTGTACAAACTCCTCAAGTCATAACCTACCTTTAATTAAATTTTCAACTTCTTCAAGGTTATCCTTGTTTTTGGGCTCTGCTAATTTCTCATTAATTTCCATGATTTCCATAAGGAACGCTGAGTCTGCATCACAGTCTGTCTCTTGTGCTGGCTCCACTCCACTCAGCTCCAGCTGGCAGAGGAAATGGGAATTGAAAAATAAATATTCCCACATCTATTTCAATGGGAATTATTTTCTTTAATATTAAGTCTCTTAGTGGGGCATACTCAAATTCATATTCGATAAACCTACAGTGCATAGAGTCAATCTGAAAACCAACTCCAAACATAAGCTGACCATAAAAATCAGCAGTTTCCCAAAGCCAAAAAAAAACCATAAAAAAGGCTGCCATGGGCCAGACTGAACTTCTGAATGAGCAGCCATGGCCAAACACCCGCGTAATGTTAAAGCCAAATTAACATCACCACGTGCGATGTGAAAGACAAATTACTGTAAGGTGAGTAGCAAATTATATGACACGCTGATTAAAATTTGGACAAACTTGGTTCTGGTCTCCATTCAGTCTCTGGTGATCCTCTTCAGAGCAATGCAAATGAGCAAGTTGAAGGACTGAATGCAAATTAAGGACCGAATCGAGGGTGCCATCCCTACCAGCCCCCAGGGTTAGTTACAGGAACATTGCAATAGCTAAGGGAGACCTTACTAGATAGAGGCCTCGGCTCAGAGGGTTCAGCAGGGTCTTGTAGGCCTTGTTGATCAGGGAAGAGTGTTGCTCAGAGTAGTACTGCTCTTTCTGCAAATGGACGGCAAATAATTGGAAGCTAAGAACAAGTGGCAAAATACACTTTGTTAGATGCGGAACACCAGCGTCCCCACAGCAGTCCGTGCGACTCTGGACCCGGGCCCTGTGGCACTGCGCTCAGCTAAGGCCTGACGAACCGCAGCGGCCCCTCATCGTCCGCTAATGCACGGCGGGGCAGAGTCTCTTCTGAGCCCCGAAACACAAACACAGGCGAACCCCCTCACTCCCCGAGCGGGAGAGAGGCGGGGACCCGGCACTGCGGCCCCGCCGCGCAGCCGAAGGCGAAGGGCGAGCTCCTCCGGCGGTCACCGAGCCCCGCGGGCCCCTCCCGGCCCGGCTCCCCCGCCCGGCCCGGCGCTCACCGGCGGCCTCTGGCCGAAGCGGTCGGGGTGCACGGCGCGCTGCAGGCTCCGGAACCGCCGCTGCAGCTGCTCCGGGTCGATGCGGAACGAGCGGTCGCTGCAGGACACAGGGCGGGTGAGAGCCGCGGCCGGCCGGGCTCGCGGCCGCCCCGCCCACACTCACCAGTCCATCAGGCGGAAGAGGTCAGGCCGCGGCGCCGGCGGCTGCAAAGCCCGGCAGCCGGGGCAGAAGCGGGGCGGCCCATCGCCGCCGGGCAGCGCAGCGCCGCAGCTCCAGCACGGCGGCCCCGGGGCGCGGCCCAGCGCGGCCCCGCGGAGCGCCCGGCGCGCCCAGCCCAGCCGCGCCCGCAGCGCCGCCCGCATCGCGCCGCGCTCCCGCCGGGCCCCGCGCGGGCCGCCCGCTCATTGGCTGCGCTCGGAGCGCGCACACCGCGCGTATGGCGGCCCCGGCCCGACGGCACCAGCCCCGCGAGCCCCGCCAGCCCCGAGAGCCGTGAGTTCGGGTCCCGCTCCCGCCCTTCCCTGCCCCGCTCCCTGCCCCGCTCCCCCTCCGCTCTCCTCTCCGGCCCGCTGCCGCCACAGCCTGCTCCCCGCGGCCTCACGGGCCGCAGTGCTCATGGGCACGGCGGGGCCGCTGCTGCCGGTGTCGGTCCGGGGCGGCAGTGCTCTGGCGGGCAGGGCCGCTGCGGCCCGGCCTCGCCGTCTGAGCGTTGAGGTTCAGGTTGGATACGAGGGAAAGCTCCTCCACAGGTCGGAGGTGGGGTCAGCATCCCTGTGGGACCAGGGGACACGGCCACAGGTGGCACTGGCAGTGCTGGGGAGGTGCTTGGACTCGATGGGCTCTGTCTTTTCCAGCCCAGACGGTTCCGTGGTTCTGCCGTGCCTGAGGGAGGTGCCTGTGTTTGTGAACACCTGTAACAAACGGGGTGTGGGAGGGAGCTTGGGACCTGCCGTGGCTTTATGGCTCGGAATGGCATGTAGCCAAGTATACATTGAACGGTATGGCAAGGAGCGAAACACCCGATACGCAGGTGCTAAGGATGGACTGGTGTGCTGGAGGGAGGACTGGGGCAGCATTTAAGTGGAGGAAGCACCACAGGCTATGAATTTCCCGGCTGTTTCTTGCCACTGGCTGTGGTGTCTAAATCTGTCAAGGTTTTTCACAGTTATTGTGTACAAGTGTGATAAATCTCTCGGGCGCTTTCAAGAAAACCTATGTGATTTTACAGTTCTCATTCCTTTCAGTTTGCTCTTTGTGCTGGGGGACCAGCCGTGGTCCCTCGCTCCGTGCGGGGATGCTGTCCGAGCACAGCCCATGCCTGTGTGACCCAATGGGAGCGCTGAAGTCCTCGGTAGCAATGCGGGAGTGAGGGTTAGTTCTGCTTCTCTAGAACCAGCAGAGGCCGCTCCACGTTGTCTTTTAAAAGGAAAACCATCCTGGTTTGCACAGTTCCTGGGAATTTACGTATAACGCAGACATGCACGCTTTGGATGGAAGTTTTACATCTTTGAGGCTGAGAATGGACTTGGACATTAATAGTGCAGTATGTGAGTGTTTGCTAGTTTTACTTTGCTATAGTAATTGCTGTTTTTTTAACATTCTCTTTGAAGCCAACATGTCTCAAGAGACTGGAAGTGAATCACAGCAATCTCAGAGTTCCCAGCAGCCACAGAGTGGTACCAGTTCTTCCAGTGGGTCACAGAGCACTAGTCAGTCTTCCTTAAGTTCTGGAACTCTCAGTTCCTTGGACACTGTTCCCACTCAGGAGCTTCCATCCATCCCTGAGGACCAGGAATGTGAAGAGCTGGTTCCTCAGCCTTGGGGTCGACTCTTTGCACTTGGAAAAGGTTTCAGCAATTGTGGTATGTGCATGCTGTAATAAATCTCTTGGTTTCTTTGTAGGATCTCAGAAAAGGTCTGAGCAGCTTGCTGAAGAGCAGTGTCTTTTCATTTTCAAGTTAGGTACAAGCAAATTTAGGTATGGAACTTTTTGCTCTAATGTTTTATTCCATACTACATCCCAGTGTTTACACTGAGTTCTCAGATACAGAGCTTCCATAGACTTACAGAAATTCTGGGATACACAGCTTCCATAGACTTACAGAAATTCTGGGATACACAGCTTCCATAGACTTACAGAAATTCTGGGATACACAGCTTCCATAGACTTACAGAAATTCTGGGGTGTTCATATTCTTTGTTACACACTTCATTTAAAAGCAATATATATTTTATTTAGTTATATGTCTCTATATGGTTGATGGTGAACTGAAGAACACCAATGCTAAAGAGGGTAAAATTATTAAAGGATTTGACAAGGGGTGATGCTTTGTATGAGTTAAGACAGACTTGATTCTATGGGAAGAATCTTGTCTCTGTTATATTATTCATTACCATTTGGAATCATCCTGTAGTGCCATTGTTGTTAACTTCCTGCAACATTGTCTTCTCTCCCTGCTGTACCTTCTCCTCCTCTGCAGACTGTGTGAATGAGGAATACTGGTTTGGGAGGGACAGAAGCTGTGATTACAGTTTTTCTAAGCTGGGATTGTCTGAGACTAGCTTCTACCAAAACTATAGCAAGAAGCACTTCCGAATTTTCAGGGTAAGTGCTAAAAATGTTAACTCGAGACTTTGGGGCAGAGGTCCTAAAGAAATCAAAGTATCTTCAGGGTTGACTCCTTTAACCTGACTTTTGGCAATGCCCCATTCATATGGTTTATGAAATAAACTCAGTCTCATTTCTTGAGTCAACAATAGTAAATTTCTAGTGTATCACGTCTTTATTTTAAAGTCATTTGTTCTTTACTGTCATCTTCCCCATTTTTTTTTCTCTTTGAGGAAATGGGTCCAAAAAATTCCTTTGTTGCCTACATTGAAGACCACAGTGCAAATGGGACATTTGTTAATAGAGAGCTCGTTGGAAGAGGGAAGAGGCTTCCACTGACACACAACTCTGAAATTGCATTGTCTGTACAGACCAATAAGGGTAAAATGTGCTTTAATTTTAGTAGATTTTTTTCATGTGTTGACCAAGAGGTTGTTTCTGCATTGATTTGAGTATGTTTCTAGGGAGCCGAGCTGCTTTGTGAGCACATCTCATTAAGAGGTGTTTTTAGTACTCATAAAAATTATCCATGTCAGCCCTGAAAAAAACCTGAAAAAGAAAAATTAAAGATATATGCATCAGGTAGCACCTTACTAGAGTATAAACTTTCATAGGCTTTTTCCTCTTTTTGAAACCCTTTTGGGCTTCAGTAGCTATCCATATGATGGTGGGAGCAGGGGAAACAGACTATTCAAGAAAAGTTGAATAAAACCCCCTTGATACCTAACCAGATGCTGCATAATAAATAGAAAATCCTATTAAAAATAAACAGGGGTGGGTTTCTGTTTCTTTGTCTTTGATTTTCCATTAAGATGCTGTCTTCTTATTACTTCTCTTTGATTTTTGCTGGGACATTGAAATTTTTGCTCCTTTTGTCTTTAAATGTAATTAATTAGTTAAAGACTGTTGTGAATTTAGTCCCAAAATGTAATTTTTCAGCAATAAGATCACCTTGCCAACCCATAGCTGGTATAATTTATAGCATATATTTAGTTTTTCCTCTAGCAGGCAGTATTTTCTCAGTTATATTGTTGATTATAAAAGCTCACAAAACATAGCTGTTTGTTATAATAACAATTTTAAACCTAATAATAGGAAAATGATCTCCACTTGCCTTCCCAGTGTTTGTATTTTCTGATCTTACTGTGGATGATCAGATGACGTTTCCTAAAGAATTCAGAGAGAAATATATAATGTCAAAGACTTTGGGAAGGTAAGCATCCTTCTTCCCTCAGTAGAAAGGGTTACCTTCATTATCATCATCAGTATCTTGTGCTAGAATTATTACCAGTATTAACTGAGCTGCTGTTTTAAAAGAAAAAAGGGGAAAAAATGAATGATAACACGTGAATAAATCCATTCTTTACAACAATTTAAACAGGAATTTTGGCTTTGTCTCTCTATTTGGTTTGGGGTTTGCAACGTACCACAAATTACAAAAGCCAGGTTTTGTTTTGGTTGGGTAATAATACTTCCTCAGAACAGGCAATGTGCCTCACTCAGAAAGTTAGAAAGCAGCCAGCTCCAAATTATGCTTTCATTTGCCTGCACTTGTTACTCAGATTTTTGACAGGGCTGTGCTCTTGTTTTAGTGGTGCCTGTGGAGAAGTCAAACTGGCATTTGAGAAGAGCACCTGTAACAAAGTTGCAGTGAAAATCATCAATAAACGGAAGTTTGTGGCAAGTGGCCTGACTGATGAAGTAAGTATTTTTGTTTGTCTGTCTGTCTTGGCCACCTTGCAGCAGTCTTGGAATATCTGGTAACTTCTCTGACTCCTCAGATATCTTCATATGAGGATTTTCTTACTTAATGTCTTCAGTGTTTAATTTAAAAATGCTTTTTGGTCTTGTATGATGTACAGGATTCTTGGTTTTATTCCTTGACCACATTCCATTAGGTTCCTCATTTAGGACTGTTAATGGGATGTGTAGAAGGGGTGGTGTGGAGTCTTGCAGGGTTTGGTTTATGTCCTAAAATGCATGCAATGAAAATACATGTCTGGAGCAATATCTTGCTCCAGATAGTGACAGCACTATTTATTTATTTAATTCTCTGAAGGTATCTGATAATTTTATGGAAAAAAAAATTATGTTAATGGTCACTTACAGTAGCAAAAGGCATGAAATGGTGTCTTTTCTGGTACTGTCTCTTATTTCTCATATGTCTTATTCCAGAACAGCTCTCTTACCCAATATGGTATTTGATTCTTTTAATAGAACCCAGCTTTAAATATCAATACAGAAATTGAAATTTTGAAGAAAATAGATCACGTGAGTGTTACTGTACATCTTCATTATTTTTTGCTCCCTCCTCTATGTACTTGTTTAGTTTACTGAACTTAGTGTAGTAATGAAAGAGTAATTTTATACATTCAGAAATGTCTTAAAGGAGATATATAATTTCCCTTGTAAATTATTGAATGGGTGTTTTTTACATCTGTTAAGTGTATTATATCCTAGCAGATTTGAGATTTTAAAGCTTTGGATAACTGAGATAAAAATTTCTACAACAGCAGCTCAGTTAAAACCTCTGTGATGTTTCTTCTCAAATTTCTATTTTATGCAAGTTTTTGTAAATGCTGCAAAATAATAGTTTTCACTGGCAATTTCTTGAATTTGTATCCCCTCTTTCCTCTGCATGTAAAATAGATAAAGAGTTGAGGGTGTGGTCTGGGGTGCTTGCGAGTCACTTGTGTCCAGTGTTACTTTATGTGACCTGGTTTGAAATACTGAAATAAAAACTTTAGGATTAATTTTTACAAATTATTCTATTTTGTGTGTCTCTGTGTTAAATTATTCTATTTTGTGTGTCTCTGTGTTCCCTTTTCTGTTAGCCTTGCTTAATCAAGATTAAAAATTTCTTTGAAGCAGAAGATTACTACATTGTTTTGGAACTGTAAGTAACCTGTTTTAAAGTAAATGCATAAAATCAATTTTTTTTTTTGCATAGCCACAATGAACTGTGGGTGATTTGCTTTTTAAATATTGTTGTCCTTTTGCTGGCCTCCACTTTCCTTTGTAAGATTAGGAGCTAGGATAACCAGGAGAAATCATCCTTCTATGATTTGTAGACACTCAGGGACTGGACATTATTTGCTCTGCTGTTGTGGATTGCAGCTATTTTTTTTTAATTTTTAGCTCGTAAGAGGAGGCTGATCAAAAATGATGTAACAACTCCCAGTGAAGACTCAAGAGACTGACCTTAACTCAGCCATACATGGGCTGTGTTTAGGATGTTGCACACTCATTTCAGAAATATATTTTTTCTCTGTAGCCAGTGTAGCCAAATGTTTTGGTCTTAGTCTTGTCTATGAGATTAATCTTTAGGAAGTTACATGCTGGCTTGTTAACCTGCATCTGTTTTAGGATGGAGGGAGGAGAATTGTATGACAGAGTGTCAAGGCCAATCAAGATGAAAGAAGAAATCTGCAAGTTATACTTTTATCAGATGCTTCTAGCTGTAAAGGTACTTAACTGTGAATTCACAAAACCGTGAATACCAAAAAAAAAAGTCAATAAGATGAGTTTTTCTGTCACTTGTCATTGCTGAAACCCATGCAAGCAATCAGCACAGCGTTCTTGACAAGTTGGTTTAACAAGAGAGGCAGAAAAGCAGAATTCCTACAAGGGTGACACAGAACCCGGGTCTGCACACTGTGCTTGCATGAGATTTGGCATTTGAAGCATAAGATTTCTAAGGTGGTTTTTTTTTTTTTGTTTCTTTGTGATGGTGTTTTGGTGTGGTGTTTTTTTTTTTTTTTTTTTTTTTTTTTTTCATTTTGCTTTATTTTTTTAAGGGACAGTCCCATGTTAGGGAGCTTTAAATGTTTGCCCTCCTCTTACACAGTCATTTCAATTATTCTGCCATTGCCATGAGAAAAAATGGAAAGCTTACATTTTTAAACAAGTTAATAATCTGTTTTTCCTTAATTGCCCATCTGTATGTATTTAGTATCTTCATGACAATGGAATTATACACCGAGATCTAAAGCCGGAAAATGTGCTACTTTCATCTTCTGAAGAGATATGTCTTGTAAAGGTAAGAAAACTTACATTTCATGTTAATGGAAAACTTTGGGAGTGTTCCTTCGCATTCTTCTTGATATTTCATTAAACACAGCCAAAAAGATATTATGGAATTAGTCATACAAACCATGAAGTAACATAAAACATAGACTTTTTTTTTCATAATTGTAATTTTACTTTTATGGATATTTCAACCCATACACTACATATGTATTTTCAAATGTCAATGATTTTTTTCCCCAGTAAAATCTAAATTCTTGAATTACAGACAGCATTCCCACAAATGTCCAGGCTGTATGGTGACAGGGATTTTTCTGTTGTTTTGGTTTTTGGGGGGGGAATAAGGGTTGTGGATTTACTTTTATGTTGTTTTTATTTTCCCCCCGAGAAAGCATTGACTGTATTTGCATTTCAGCATAAAAAAAGAATGCTGAAATGCTTATTTTTCAAGTAAACTCTTCTAATAGGCTACAAAACTTTTATTCTGTAGTTGCCCATTTATATCCAAATCTTAAGAGTATTTTTTGCTATTGTTAAGCATGTTCCTTTGTCATATTTCTTTCTCTTCTCCCATTCTCACTTGATAATGTTTGGGGTGACTTCTATTCATAGTCATGTACTGGAACTGGCTTGGAAGGAAGAAAATGCTACCTCCTGATGTATGTCTACAATATGTGTTCTAGTAAAGTCCATCCTCATATGTAATGTGGTGTTACCATTTTTAAATACAAGATTACAGATTTTGGACAATCCAAGATTCTTGGAGAAGCTTCTCTTATGAAAACATTATGTGGTACTCCCATGTATCTTGCTCCTGAGGTTCTAAATTCACTTGGGACTGCTGGATACAGCCGAGCTGTGGACTGCTGGAGTTTAGGAGTTATTCTTTTTGTATGGTAAGATATTGTGTAGATGTACCTTCACTGGGCAGTCTTTCACATACATGGCTTGAGACTTGGCAACTTCAGTGTCTATATGAGGAAGTGGAAGTTTAAAACTCTACACATATAAAAACACTATGATAGCAGATGCCTTAAAATTTGTGATTTCAGTGTTTTATTTGCTATGACAAATTCTGTGCTATGTAACTTTTTTTTTTTTTTTTTTATACAGCTTGTGTGGATATCCACCATTCAATGAGCAAAATACTGAGCTCTCTCTGAAGGATCAAATCACTTGTGGAAAATACACCTTCATTGCAAAAGAATGGAAGCATGTATCATACATGGGTATGACTCCAGCACAGTGGGTAGTAAAATATCTACCTCTTTTCTTGTAGTTTTTGTTTTCCTTTATCCTCCTTTCAGCTGTATGGCACATTATGTGTTAATATGTTATGTTTTTAAACTACTATATTAAAAATATTTTTTGAAGTTCATAGTTAAAGCATTAGAATGAACACATACTTTATGGTTGAAGAGATTTCTTAGTAGTATTTAGCATAATTAACCACAAAAGTATAGAGTTTGTGGGCACATACATCTATTTCCCCTCTTTTCACTTTTTCTTCTGACTTTATCAAGCTGGTCTACAGACTTTGCCTAAAGCTTCTTCAAGTGTTGAACCAAAAATACCAGGAATTTAAGGAATACGAGTTAGAATTCCAAAAAACAAACGTTCCAAGAGAGTCCTTTCATGGTGCTAGTCTTTGAGCTGAAAGTGTCAGTCACATTTGAGGAATCATCTATTATGTTTGGTCCACTGTAAGTGAAGTAGTCTGTGAAATTGAGTTTTTGCATAGCAAACTAAAATAATTACTGTCTGTGTGCTTTTAGTTTCTCAGGACATTTTATATGCACAAAATAATTGTAGTATTTACCTTGGACAGTTCTTTGTATGTGCAGAGGATTTTCTAATAAATGATATGGTCATCCTTTATCTAATAAACTTATCAAATATAACTCCTTCTTGAATAGTTTACAGCTTATTCAATAATAGGTTAGACATTCATGAGAATGTACAATCTTAACATAATTTCCATTGTCCTTCTGGTATGTATTCAGAATAATCTGGTCAAATGAAAAGTAAACCTTGCTGAAATTCCTTTATGGGAGATTTGGAGTAATAAAATAGGACAAAAATGCCATATTTTCCACAGTGTCTACTAAGCAGCTTCCTAAGAAAATGAAAGTTTATGTGTATATCCTGTCTCTTCTCTCCCACTTTCCCAGATGGATAATCTGCTTTCCAAGACACTGTAAACCAGGATAAATTAAGCTGTCTTTCATTTCCACAGTAATACTGAAGCTTTTAGGGAAGTGCTGAGCCTCCTGTGCATGCTCAGAACATAAAGTGTGTATATGTTAAATATATCTGTGGGTAATTCTGGTATACTGAGAAGTGTTGAGTTGTGTGCATGTGAAGGAAAAAGATACTTGCAGGCTGCAGCCCTTCCCATGCATAGCAAAAAGAAAAGTGATCTGCACTTGTGTGCATTGCTCTGTAAAGCACATTGTCACACATAGTTTTGGTGTAGGCATATTTCAGCTAAGGAATGTATTGATCACATGCCAACCAGCTCATTTTATTATCTTAGCTCTGGATCTTGTGAAGAAGCTGTTAGTAGTGGATCCAAGCAAACGTCTTACCACAGAGGAGGCCTTAGAGCATCCTTGGCTTCAGGTAGGAATTGAGTTTTTAGTGAAAGCTGAGTTGTTTGAGGGATAACTTGTTCATGTCTTGTGTTTTCATAGATTTGGTCTCTGTAGAAAGACTGCAAAAGCAGCAAGGAGCAGTCTCCTGAATACCTTCTTTTAATACAATGAGCAGCTTCTGTGTCCTTTGTGAGACACCTCTTCCCAGAACTCTTCCACATGTGAGATCAAGATGTGTTTTTTAGAGCCCAGGTCTGATTGTGGTTCTGGTAGGAAGGACCTCTCCTTCTGAGCATTGGAACAGAGCCCCATTTCCTCAGATGTTTGTGTGGGCAGTGCAGTTTGCTTCTGGCAAGCATCCAATACTAGTTTGTTTTTCCTCTGCTGTGTCCCTGGTTTGGGAACCCTCTGAGTAGGAAGTGATGGTTTCCCTGCCTCCTGTTACAGTCTAATTAGGTTTGAGAGGAATACTCTTTACGTGGTCTTTTCTTAATTTTGGCAGAGGTGCCCACTGAACCTATGAGCTTTCTTGAATATTTTTGCTTGAAGAGGCTGAAAAATGTCACCCAGCCTACATCTGAGCCATGCAACAGGTTCTGTTTATTCACACCAAGCACAAGGCTATTTCTGTTCCCCCACTGGGAACAGGAGACTTTCAGATGCTTTGGTAAAGAGCATAAGAAACAGGGGAGAAGCAAGGGAGTATCTCTCAGTGCTCAACAGCTGATAGTGTTCTGAGACAAAAAAACATGTCTGGATTACTCTTTAAAGTGAGTACCTTGTCTTGATTATGCCCCTGGGCATCAGGAAACATTTCCTGGCATTCATGGGTTTTACTTACTGTAGTTTTGCATGTAACATCTAAAGTGAGTTACAAATCTGAGCAGAAAAAATACTCAAAAACCATGCAACACTGATTTTAAAAATTGCTAATATGCTTAAGGGGGAAGGGGAATAGATGTCTGATTTAGATGAGCTAAGAATTTAAGATATTTCAGTATATATTCAAGTTGTTATTAACTTGATTGTATATTCCATGTAAGGACATCTCTTATTGTTAAGTTTAATTTTGAAGACAGGACAGAAGGTTCCAGAAATCATCATAGCCATAAATCCAGATGTCATCTAGCACTCAGCTGCTGTTCTTTGAGCTGTTTCCCTTCAGGGGCTGTCATTAAGAGTGTCAGGTGTTCCTAGGTGATGTAGACTGCCTGCTTGGAAGGGCAGAATCCAGCATGCTCCGTTCTAGATATCACACATATCAATCCTTCCACCAGAAGAGCTCCCCAGTCCTGTTCCTGTGAGTAGTGAGGAGCTGCTGGCTCCTCTCTCCCTCTTGTGTTCTCTGCAAGTATCGACTTTACAAGTCAGCAGGAAAAACCACGTTCTCTCTCTGGCCAGCAAATGCCTGTTAGCCCTCTGATGATTTTGGGGGTACTAGGGAATTTTTCAGATATTAGAAGTAAGCATGTTCTGCAGATTTATTTAAACTAGTAGTGCTTTCAAATTAGTGTTTTCAAAACAAGTTGTTTACTCCATTCTTTATTTAAATCCAGAACTTTAAAACTTGTTGGGCTGTGTAAACCTAAGTACTGCTTAGTGGAAATGGCTTCTTACTTGTGTTTACTTAATAAAACATTTTTTAAAGGCATATAAACAATTATAGCTGTTTCTGCCTCTGAAATCTTCACTGAAGTCTTTTGAATGGTACAAGATTAGTTTGGTTGCATGCTGAAGAAAAACCACAGGTCTTTGTTACATCAATGGAAAAATATTTCTTACCTTATCCATCAAGTCAAATGTAGCCACAATCAAATCAGGTGACACTGGACAAGAAAAATAAGTCAAAATTCTATATAAAATTAAATGGATATTCAGGTCAAAGCCTTTTTGTAGCACTTAAGAATACTTAAATAAAATAAGGAGATACTGCAATACTCCATTGCTTAGGAAGAGGACCCTCTCCACTGCTTTAACCTAAAAAAAACTCAGTTAAAACAGCTGAAATCCTTAGGACCTCAATGATCTTTATTTGTATTTGTCTTTAGCAGTGAATGTCCCATTCACTTCTCGTTGAGTTTCTCAATCTTTGCTTTTCCCTTAAATATTCTATATACTACTTAGATGCTGTTTTTTTGTATTTTTTTTTATTTCAGGATAAGGATATGAAAAATACATTTGAACAGCTACTTGCTCAGACACCTACCAATATGAACCCACCAGAAACATCAAAAATGGTATGTGCAGTAGATATTTGAAGAGTAAAATTTGATGCTCTGAGAAAGTATATTTTGAAGTAATCTTTAATAAGAAAATCAGTTAATTTTAGACTTTAGAGAAATGTACCCTTGGGCTGTATGTGGCAGCCTGCTTGTTCTGTTTCCTGAAGAGCAGCAATGGATTTCCATTCTTTGTCAACACTTTGTTTAAATGTATAGAAACACTTGCCTAGGCTTTAAAGGATTATTCCTATGTTTAGAATAAAATTTTTGAATGTATGTTTTTAATGGATTCAAGTCAATAATGTTTAGTATTCAAGCAAAAATTCTCATGCTGGTGCAAGGTTAGAACAGCATTGTGCCATTCATCACCAGATGCTAAATAGGAAAATTGTGAACAGTGGCTATTGCAAACTGGGAGCAATATCTTATATAAGAACCATCAAATATATTTAGATAAATCTTGGGAGAGAAACATGGGTTTGTTTTTGATCACACTGTCCAACACCTGGAGTTCTGGAGCAAGCAGAAAGTCATGTTCTGCCTTACCTGGTTTCCTGGAGCCATCCTCCTGTGTTTTTCTTCCAGCCAACCACAATGAGAAAACGTCCCCATGAAAATGAGGAAGACAATGGCTCTGCTAAGCGTGCTGTTCCTTCTACCTCGTATCAGAAAATGAGGTGAAAAGGAAAATGACTTTGTTAATGACAGCTTTTTTATGGAGAGCAGAATTTTTTATTAAGAAAAATCTTAATAATGGAATAAACTGTTGAAGATGTATAATTTTCAAATAAAAATAACTTTGTAAGACTGAAGTGACTGCTGTGCATGCATGAGAATCTGCACAACTAGTCATGGTCTAGTCCATCCAGCTGTCTGACTCAAGGAAAGTATCAGAAACACTCCTGAACTGAGTTACTAACAATTTTTTAGGCTAGCTTTATCCCCACCTACATTCTCGGTTTCTTCTTTTCTAATTCCTAGGTTAGGCATGGAAATAATGCTTAGTCCTAACAGATGAAGAAGGAACACTAAACTTGCTGAGCTTTTGCCTGAGACACAGCATTACCTGACACAATGCAGCCCACAGACTTCTGAGGGCACTTACACTGTTCAGTTCAGATGTAAAACTTCTGATGGACCTTGAGGTGCTCTGGGCTTCTGGTGAAGCTCCACAGTAAATGCTGGACTGGGAGAATTACAGCATTGTGCACTGGGGTGAGCCTGACTGGCTTCCAAAGCAATGATCACCATCCTCATGGTGTTTTAACATTTGTGTGTACCATGGTTATTTCCCAGAGGAGAGATGAGTAAGAGGAAACATGATAACAAGAGATGAAATGAAGATGTATAAATTCCTGTCAGGGAGGAGCTAGGAATTGAACTGAGAAAGAAAAACTTGCCCGCTTGGTGAAAGCTTTGAACTGTGTGCCTCTTACTAAAGGATTATTAATTTCATTACTGATTGAAAGAACAGTTTAGTAACTGTTCTCCTACATGCATCTTCTTGTTAAAGGTATCTACTCTAAGTTGATTTGTGAAGAATAAAACCTAATGCATTATGGAATAAACCCATGTCAGGTAGAAATTAAGATATTCATGAGTAACATTTCCTGTATGTACCCATTGCAGAGATCTTCTGTGTTTGGATATATCTGATATTAACCAATGTTAATGATAAAATGCTGATTCTTGTACATTGATACCTTTCTTAACAGATTGAATGGAGAAACATCCATGGGTATCTGGATGGAAAGAACACCACTGGTTCCAGTCCATTCCAGATACACTGGGCTGATGGAACAAAGGTGTGTCTGTCCTCTGGGATGTGCCCTTTGGTGCAAATCTGTCACTGGCACATCCTCAGGGAGTTCTGGTGCTTACTGTAGCTCATTTGAAGTAGAAGGGAACACTCAGCTGCCATTTGCTATGTGTAAGAATCACAGGATGCAGTGCGTTTGGGCCAGATTTGCGTACTGGTATATTGCAAAAGCTGATACCTTTGGGCTTTGGTTACCAGTTACTTTTAAAAGACCTGCATCATTGCTGATGAGAAGGTAATTCCCTAGCTCCTACTTACACTGTCAATTTGTTTTTAGATAGAAATAGAAAACTTCCATAATTTATTCCTCCATCTTTTTTACATCCCACAGTTAGATAATCAGTAACTGCTTTGCTAGGGTCCTTTCCCTGGGTCCTGACTAGCACTTGCTTTCCAATGATGTCCTAAATTTGATCTCACACATTCAATGGCAAACCTTTGGGCTGCTGGCCATGTGTTCATCATTTGATTGCAGAAAGCTTTCTGAAGTTGCTGACTCAGTTTTTTCTATGGAAGAGGAAGTTTCACTAAGGTGAAGTGGCATCCAATTTTCACGTAGATAAGAAATTATTTCTTTACCACTTATTATCCGCAGCACAAGAATCTTCAGCATAATCCATTTTGTTCACGTCAAGAGGCAGGACGGTCACACAGTTGGACGACTTGGGTTAACCAAAGTGCTGAGGCTCGCTGTGCCTGGCCAGTGCGGTGCCATTAGTGACCAGCATCACCACCTGCGGTGCCATGTGGGCCCCGCTTGCTCCCGAGCTCAGGCTGCCGCTGCTTCTGGCCCCCACCCGTGTGGCGACAGGAGCAGAGCGACGTGAGGACGGAGCCCGTCGGTGTTGGCGGAGAGGCGAGCGCCGCTGGGCCGGGGGAGCAGGGCGGCAGCCGCAGGACGTCCGGCGCCGCCGGGCGGGGGTGCCCGGGGTCCGGGCGGAGCCCAGCCCCGGGGCGGGGCCGGGACACTGCGGGTCCCGCTCAGCCGGGCCCGAACGTGGCGCCGGGGGCCGGGGTGGGATCGGCCGGGCGGGGGCGGCGGCGGCCCCCGCAGGAGGAGAAGGAGGAGGAGGAGGAGCGCGATGGAGCAACAGGCGCCACCGCCCCCGCCGGGGGCCGTGGCGGTGGGCCGGGCTCGGCGGGAGCAGGACGCGGAGCCTGCCCGGGTGGGTTGACGCCAGACGGGCAGCGCTGGAGCGGTCGGGGAGGCGGGAAGGAGCCGCGGGGCCGGGCCGGACGCGGGCGGCGGGGGGAAGCTGCGGGGCTGTCCCGGCACGGAGCGGGACGGGGCTCGGCGGGGGCGCAGGCCCGGTGGCCCGAGGCGCGGTGAGGGGCCGGGCGGCGGTGGGGCAGCTCCTGGCGGGGCTCCGGGGACGCCAGGCCGAGCGCTCGGCTCCCTTCGCCCTGGGCAGCTTGGGGTACCCCGTTGCCTGGGAGCCCCGAGCCCGGCGGGGCGGGCGGGGGTCCCGGCCGGGCCCGGGCCTGGCCCCGGAGCGGGGCTGTGTGCCCCGAACACCGCCGGCCGCCGCTAGCTGGAGCGGGACCCTCGCGAGCAGAGAGCTCGGATGTCGGCATGGGCATTGTGCTCGCTCTGGCGCCCCCGTAAACAAACTCGAATCTCGTTAAAACCCGCAAAGTTCGAAGGTAAAGCGTGTCAGGTGTACTTGGCAGCACCGCAGAGCTCCGTACCCTGCTGCAGCGGTACAGAAAGTCAGGAGTTTGGTTGTCAGGGCTTTGTTACTGCCAGAACTTAGAGCCTGGAGACCGGAGTCAGTCAGCGCGTGCTGGGTGACACCGATGTCACAGCGTGGCTGTGCCCGTGCTGAGCACAGGCTGGCGATCAGCGATGTCAGCCCGGCCAGCTGCTTGCGCTCCCGCAGCTTGGTGCTGGAGCTTAGGGATGCCCCTGCTGCCGCCAGAGAACAGAGCTGAAATCCAGAGAGCTGGGTGCCTGTGCCTCCTTGTCCTTCTGGAGTTGTCTTTCCTTTTTCTTGGAGGTTTTCACAGTCTTAGATAATATCTCCCCTGCGCTTTCTTCTGGTGTGAATCAGGTGCTAATGGAGCCTTTTATAGGCTCTTTGAAATGGATAAATTCCTAAATGGATGAGTGGATGTGCCTTTAATGTGCCCTAACAGGTGTTCCTCGAGTGAGGTTACTGTTCGTGCCTGGCTTTTGCTGAATTACTGGTCCATCACTCCCTTGTTGCTGCCTCTGTCTCCCTCTGGCTCACAGACTGATCAGAGGGAAAGGTCTGTTTCCTCATTGATAGTTTGTGATTTAATTAAATCTATATATATGTATAGATATAAAACTATTGTTACCAATAACTAGCTTAAAAATTATTTATGAACCAAAAAGTACTGTTGAAATTTAACTATGGATTGCATAGTTGTTATTTACAATTTTTAGCAACATGTAGCATGTCTTAAATTAGGGTGGATCTAACTGCTGTAACAAGTGCAGATCTCTCCAAACTCACAGAAGCTCACAACTTTTTTGCATTGTAAAAAAATTCTTCAAGTAAAACCATTTTCTATAGAAAATTTTGTTTTTAATAAGCTCCAGTCAAGAAAAAAATCTGTTTCCTTCCTGTTGATAAGTTCTTATCATCCTGCTGTGGCTTAAACCTCCAGTTTTGGTGCTCTTTTATTTCTTTCCACACTATTTCTGTTTAAATTCTGCTCTGTTCAGGGGCAGGTTGCATGTGGTGTGCAGGGTTTGATATCTCCTCAGGAGTGTGGTACAGCCTGGCTGAAGTGCTGCCTGCTGGAAGGTTTCAGGGACAGACTTCATGTGCTTTATTTTTCTTGGGCTCTTGTTGAAGCCAATTTCTATTGCAGAAAAATAGTAATACCCCAGAATATGGAGAGAAACCATAAAACCATTTTACAGATTAAAATATAAGTTGTGTAGAGGTTTTCCTAGAAAGGGAAGCTCAGTTACAGATTTAAGCTGATTTTGGAAACCTATATTTAGCCTAAGTTACTGTCACTTTTTTTCAGAATCCATTAGGAATGCCAGTTTTCCTGCTTGCCTCTTTTTGCTTTTTTCCTCTTCCTAAAACTTCAATAAATATCTTTAGTTATTTAGATAATTTTAAAAATAAAAATGATACATATCACATTTACAGTATATTTTTTGAAAAGTTAGAAAGAATTTTTTAAAAAAGGTGTCTTAGCTATGGACTTGCCACCCAAGACATCGTCAAATCAAATAAATTATTTGCATTATGTAGGATTAAATAAGAGGAATTATATACAAACCAACAAGCTCTGAGGTGTAACATTGGTGTTTTGATAAAGCATTTACTTTTGTACCATGTTGATTCTTTAGTCCTCTTGGAGCAGAATGTGGAATTGCTGTTATCTCTTCTCCCTTGTCTTACTGGAACTCATTGGGAATCTGTCCCTGGGGCTTTCTGGACAGCAGTATGCTGTTCAGACACATTTTTCAGTGTGTATGGGCACTTCTTTTATTTGATGAATGTTCTGTAGAGAGGACTAAGTTTAACAAGCTTGATCGGTGAAGACAAAAATTCTTGTAATATAGATTTGGCTGTATGTTCAAGTTCTAACTTGAGGTTCTAACTCAGATTTTCTCACTAGATCCTCTTCTGCACTTCATTATAACCTTATTTTTTCTGCTGCACTAAGAAACTACTTTTTTATCAAGCACCTTCTGTAGCAAAATGTTAGGCAGCCCAAATATGTACACTACCATCACCTTCCACTGTGTTTACAGGAGAGGAGCAGTGGTGACTGGAGAGGGGATGACTTTCTAATGAGTACTTTTTGTGAGTTGGTACCATAATCATAATCTTTTTTTATTTGTGGCTTGAGTGCCAGAGTGACTCAGATTTACTGTTTCAGGGTTTTTTCTTTTACCTCATGATGTTTTACTGCCTTACGTAGTTCTCATGATAGCAGGAATTAAACAGTAACATATTCCACAAATTACCATCATAGTTTCCTTTTTCTTTTCACGAGATTGTT